AACCTCAATAAGACAGCCTTACGGAAAAAGGATAGGACAGGTTCACAGGTTAAGGTGCTAAACTGGAGCACGGCCATTAGGCAGGATCTAGCAGAAGTTGATTGCGTGAGTCTCTTTGAAGGAAAAGTAATGACTGGCGGATGGGAGGCTTTTATAAGTGTGATATCAAGATTCCATGGACAGTATGTCCCTGTTAGGGTGAAGGGAAAAGCTGTCAGGTTTAAGGATCCCTGGCTGATGAGGGATACTGAGGCTCTGGTCAGGAAAAAGAAGAAGGCATACATTGTGTTTTAACTATCGGGATCAAATGAATCCCTAGATAACTATAAAAAGTAAAGAAGCACACTTGAGGGAAGTCGGAAGAGCAAAAAGAGGGTATGAGATGAAACTGGCAGATTAGGTTAAAGATAATCCCAAGACGTCCTCTAGCTATTTTAAGAATAAAAGGATGGCGAGGGAGAGAATAGGTCCCCTGTAATATCAGCACGGCCGTCTATGTGTGTGGAGCCACAGAAGATGGGGAAGATTTTTAATGAATATTTTTTACTGAGAAGAGAATCATGGTTGCTAAGGAACTAAGGGAAACAAGTTGGGATGTTTAGGACCGCATACACATTAACAGAGAGGAGGAGTTTGCAGCCTTTGATTGCATTGAGGTGCATAATTCACCTGGGCCTGATCAAGTTCATCGTAGAACATTGTGGGAGGCTAGGGAAGAAATTGCAGAGGCCCTTGCAGAGATTTTTGCTTCATCTTTAGCACTGGTAAAGTTCCGGAAGACTGAGGGTGGCTAATGTTGTTCCATTGTTTAAGAAAGGTAGCAAAGACAAGCCAGGGAACTACAGGCCAGTGAGCCTGACATCGGTGGTAGGCAAATTATTGGAGAGGATACTGAGAGACAGGATCAACCGACATTTGGATAGTCAAGGTCTGATTAGGGATAGTCGCCATGGATTTGTGCACGGGAAGTAATATCTGATAAATCTTTCAGAATTTTTTGAAGAGGTAACCAAGATGATGGTAGGGCATGGATGTTGTCTGTGTGGACTTTAGTAAGGCCTTTGACAAAGTCCTACACAGCCGGCGAGTCATGAAGGTTAGATCGCATGGGATCTAAGGAGAGCTAGCTAACTGGATTCAAAACTCGATGCTAGGAAGCAGAGGATGATGGTTGAAAGTCGTTTCTCAGACTGGAGGCCTGTGACTAGAGGTGAGCCACAGGGGTCAGTGTTGGGACCTTTGATATTTGTTACTTGCATAAATGATCTAGATGTGAATATACAAGGCATGATTAGTAATTTTGCGGATGATATAAAATTAGGAGGTATCGTTGATAACGAGAAAGGTTATCAAAAATTACAGAGGGATCTTGATCAGACGGGGAAGTGGGCTGAGGATTGGCAAATGCAGTTCAAGATAGACAAGTGTGAGGTGTTGCACTTTGGAAAGTCAAACCAAGGTAAGGCTTACGCAGTAAATGGTAAGGTCCTGAGGAGTGTTGTGGAACAGAGGGATCTAGGAGTACAAGTACATAGTTCATTGAAAGCGGTGTTACAGGTGGACGGGGTGGTGAAGAAGGCATTTAGCATGCTGCCCTTCATTGGTTGAGGCATCGAATATAGGAGTTGGGTCATTATGTTACAGTTGTATACGTTGCTGGTAAGGCCACACTTGGAGTTTTGCATGCAGTTTTGGTCATCCTGTTGTAGAAAAAACATAGTTAAACTAGAAAGTGTGCAAAGAAGATTTACAAGGATGTTACCAGGACTAGCAGGCCTGAGTTATAAGGAGAGGTTGGCCAGGATAGTACTTTATTCCTTGGAATGTTGGAGAATGAGGGGTGACCTTATTGAGGTGTATAAAATCATAAGGGGCATAGATAGGATGAATGCATATAGTCTTTTTCCCAGGGATAGGGAATTGAAAACTAGGAGGCATAAGTTTAAGGTGAGAGGGAAAGATTTAAGAAGGACCTGAGGGGCAACTCTTCACGTGAAGAGTGGTGCGTATATGGAAAAGGCTGCCAGAGAAGGTGGTTGAGGCAGGTAAAATAGCAACATTTAAAAAACATTTGGATAGGTACATGGATGGGAAGGATTTAAAGGGATTTGGGCCAAATGTGGGCAATTGGAACTAGCTGAGTGGGCACCATGGTCAGCATGGACCAGTTTGGGCTGAAGGGCCAGTTTCCATGCTGTGTTACTCAATTACTCTATGACTTTAAGACTTGAATCCTTCACCAACCCACCTCAGGTCAAGTTCTGGACTATTCCTCCATCAAGATCAACAGAGAAATCTTCCCAAATGTGGAACATTTCCCACATCTAGGAAGCTACCTGTTATTGATGTGGAGATTCAGCATTGCATCCAACCTGCGAATGCTGCCTTCAGATGCCGAAGGATGAGAGTCTTCAATGACTGTGACATCCGTGCTAATGACAAGATCCTTGTGTATAAGACAATCACCATTTTGATTTGTCTAAATTGCTCCGAGACTTGGACTATATATACATAGCACCTCAAGACCCTTGAAAAGTTCCATAAATGTTGTTTGAAATGGATTCTCCATAATAGCTAGGAGGACAGGCGTACTATAATCAGCATCCTTGAAACAGCAAAAGCATGAACATAAGGTTGTGATTATCTGAAACCAACTCCACTGGGCAGGCCATGTGCTTAGGATGTCTGAGTTCTGAGTATCAAAGCAAATCTTCTTCACCCAGCTCACGAAAGTCATTCGAACAAGAGAAAGACAAAGGAAGTGTTTCAAAGATTGCCTGAAGACTTCCCTGAAGAAACGCTACTTGGATGTCAACATTTGGGAGATCCTTGTTCAAAAGACACAAACTTGGAGGAAGCTCCTGTATGAAGGGACACAATTTTTGAGAACACCAGTCAGAAGGATGAAGTGCAGAAAAGGATCTGGAGAAAGGAATGCCAATGATCTCCAGGCCAAGGACCAATTCCACCTCCTGGCAATACCTGACAAGTGTGTGGTCATAGGTCCAGCTTTAGGATCAGACTTATCAGCTACGTGAGGTCCCACAGAACTCCCGACGAGAGACATGGAATTTCCTAGGTGGACACTCACACTTTGTTGGTGAGTGATTGCCAATGACAACGATGATGCTCCTCAGCTCCACCCAAATTGATTTTGCATTTTGATCCTTTGATCTAAGATCACAGAATCAGAAAAGTGTTATGGAGCAAAGGAGGCCATTTAGTTGATTGAGCCTACATTGACTGCATCTGCATCCTGTCTCATTGATGTACTGATGACCTTGTCCCTTAAGAGGGCCTCTTTTACCTTTTAGCCTGTCCTTACGAAATGACAAATGTCCTTGAGTATTTGGTTTCCAGCCTTTGATCATTGTCAAGCCATGTCTTTATAATGGCAATAAATCATCCCCATTCGCCTGAATGTTTGCCTTTGAATCATCAACCTTAATATGAACGCAGGGTGCTTTTTTAAGCATTATTCTGCACTCTGATCCTATTTAATACTTGCCTTTGCTTTGCTTGTTTGCTCATTTTGCTTCCTACTTCTTATTACCAGGTTTCCTTCTTTCCAATCTGAGCTCCCTGTCTGGTTCCTATTTCCTATGTCACTGTAGCTCAGACCTTCCCCAGTAGCAGCATTAAATGTCCTTGTGATGATATTAGTCTCAGCCCTGCTAAGATGCAACCCCTCGCCCTCATACAGGTTCCATCTACCCTAAAAACTTGTCCCAATGCCTCAGAAATTTGATGTCCTCCCTCTTTAATCCATTCTCCGGTCATGTGTTCAATTGTCTTTTCCTCTATTTTTATGATCATTGTCACATGGGACTGAGAATCGTCCTGAGAGGACTGCTTTTGAGGTCCTGTTTTTTAAACTCCTTCCTAGCTTGTTAGAATCTGCTTTCAACTCATTTCCTTTCCCGTCCATAGTGCTGGCGCCGATGTGGGCTATGACATCTGGCAGTTCACCCTCTTGCGAGAAAAATATCCTTAATTCTGGCTTGAGCGAGACCACAGATCATGGAGCTCGACTTGTGGCTGCAGAATTGCCTCTCTGTTCTTGTAACTGAAGAAATGCTTTTCTTCATCTTGTCCTGTACAGTGAACCACTAACTTGGCTGTGATTAGACTCTTCTGAGGACTTAGTCTCTCACCCATCCCCAAAATGAAATCCTGACTAGTTAGCAAGATTATTTCGGGAGACTATTGCACCATCTGTCTGCTTATGTTTGACTGTCTGGTTGGTCACCCATTCCTCTCTGTGTGCTCATCCTATGGTATGACCACCTCCCTAAACATGGTACCCACATTATTTCTTGTCTCACTGATGCACCACGGTAACTCCAGCTGCCATTTGAAATCCAAAACCCAGAGGTGATACTCGTGCAGATGAATTAGCACATTCCACTCGGCCAAGCTGCCTTGCGGTATATTTAATTAGAGACTATTTGCTTGAAGTTGAATAGCTTAACTGTGACCCACCAGTTAACTTCTTCCACTGCAAAGTAGGAATCAAATACTGAGATGTGAAAAAAGTTGATAATCAAAAAAACTCAAACCTTTCCGAGCCTTCCACCACCTGCCACCCTTTCAGTGAATTCCCCATTTCGTGAACTCACATTGCTCATTCTGCTTGAAATCTGCACTTTGCACTGAGACCTCTGAACTTTTCCTCTTTGCAGCAGAAATCAAATTGGACTGGTTAATGTAATAAATACGAACATACAAAATAGCAACAGAAGTAGACAATTTGGCCCCATCAAGTATGTTCTGCCTTTCAACAAGGTCATGGCTGACCTATTTGCTTTATAAATTTCACGTTCCCATCTACCCCGATAACTCTTGACACCCCTGCCTAACAAAAATCTATCCACCTCAACCTTAAAAAGATTCAGTGGCTCCATTGCCTTTTGAAGTAGGGAGTTCCAAAGTTGCATGACCCTCTGAGAGACAAATACTCTCCTTACTCCTAATCTATCTACCTTTTATTGCTTTCCCAGATGATGACTGAGATTCTGTTTGGAATACGTGTAATAAAGTTCTATACCTGGGAGAAACATTTCACTAAAAAAGTGGCGGAGTTCAGGGAGAAGGAGCTCAGGCGTCTAAAAGTCATCAAGTATTTGGATGCAATTTGTGTTTACATGTGGGCTGCACTTCCTGTTGTGATCTCCATTCTTACTTTTGTCACCTATGCTTTGCTGGGACACCAGCTAACTGCTGCCAAGGTCAGTGATAGAGCACGTGAGGATAAATCTCTGCTCTGATTTTATTTGACTGTTTTTCCCAGAGCTTTGCTCTTAATTCTGGGCCTTACTTGGGTAGCTGGATAGACTAGCGCCGGAAATCCATTGTGTATTTGACTGGCCTCCAGAGTATGTATAGGACATATCAAAAATTGTGGCCTTTTATAGAAATATGTATTCTTGATTTACAAGGGCAATTGATGATAAAGTGGGTTGGAAGCAAGTGATTTTTTTTACCTGCTGACTGGACAGCATAACATCATGGGAGGTAAATGAAGAGCAACTGATCGATGACGAAGCTGTTATGTGACTCCATATACAAAGTAATTTGGTTAACTTCACGACACCCTGAAATGGCCTCGCCAACTCCTTGGTTATATTCAACAAGGTGGCTCATTGCAGCCTTCTTCAGGGCAATTTAGAGGTGGGCAGTGAAGGCTCACATCATGTAAATGAAAAGAATACTATGTGCTACATGATAGGATGTAACATTAGAAAGGTAAAACAAGGTGCATAAGATTATAAGCATTAGAAGCAGGATTAGGCTATTTGGCTCATCGAACCCGTTCTGCCAATCAGTAAGATCATGACTGATATGATTTTGGCCCTAATTCCACTTTCCCACCTGTCCCTATAAAACTTGACTCCCTTGTTCATTACAAATATGTATTGATTTAGCCTGGAGTACAGCCAATAACCCAACCTGCACTACTCTCCAAACATTAATGGTTAGATCATAGAATCCCCACAGTGTGGAAACAGGCCATTCAGCCCAACAAGTCCACACCAACCCTCTAAAGAGCATCCCACCCAGACCCATTCCCTTACCCTATCCCTGCAACCCTGCATTTCCTGTGGCTAATATACCTAACCGACACATCCCAGAAAACAATGGGCAATTTAGCATGGCCAATCCACCTAACTTGCACATCTTTGGACTGTCTGAGAGAAGAAATTTCTCCTCATTTCTTGCTTGGTTAGGAGACTGTTTAAAAATAAGTGATCATTCCTAATTGTAGATCCCCCCCATTTTGACAATCTACCCTGCAAGACTCCTCAGAATTTTTTATGTTTCAATAAGATCGCCTTTCATTGTTCTAACTTGCAATGAATATCGGCCGTAACTGTTCAAACTGTTTAGACATTCCCTTCGTCCAAGGAATCAGCCTCATAAACCTTCTCCGAAAGGCTTTCAGTGCAAGTATAATCCTCCTTAATGACGGATACCAGAACTATGTTTTGTGTTCTACGTCCTGTGTGGTGCTGTAGGGGCAGTTTCACCAGGCCTTTGTAGAGTAGTAGCAATACTTTCCTATTTTAATTCTTGATCCTTCTTGCAACAAAGGAATACATTACATTTCCCTTCCTAATTATTTTGTCATGACCAAGTAAGAGGGAGTGACCGGGCTCTCCTTGTTTGCAAGCCCTTGCTCAGTTCAACAATGTTTGGAGGTTTTTTTAGTGTGAGACTATAACTTTCTCCAACTAAAATGTTGTTAGCTATTTTTTTATTGTACAATAAGAAACCATTCACAAAGTTTTCTTGAACTAATTAAAAAAAAAATTACCTGCTAACCTTAAGAAAATTATAAAGATGGAATGTCAAGTATGTGGCCATCATGGTTCCCCACACACGTCGACACAGTTGCCATAGTTTAAAGGGGATAATATCCAGTACACAAAGATGTTTAGAGTCATAGAGTTATACATGGAGACAGACCCAGCCATCCAACTCATTCATGCTGACCAGATATCCTAAAAAAATGTAGTCCCAAATGCCAGCATTTGGCCTGTACCCCTCTAAACCCTTCCTATTCATACACCCATCCAAATGCCTTTTAACTGTTGTAATTGTACCGGCCTTCAACACTTCCTGTGGCAGCTCATTCCACACACGCAGCACCCTCTGTGTGAAAAAGGTACCCCTCAAGTCCTTAAAATCTTTCCTTTCTCACCTTAAACCTGTGCCGTCTAGTTTTGGACTCGTCCAGAGGGAGTCCTTTGGATATGCACGAGGAGAAAGACTTTAACCTGAGATCGAACTTGAGTTAGTTGGGTTTCTTGGATTATTAGCAGCAGTGAATATTGCAGTTATCTTTGAAATGAAGTCAATTAATATCAAGAAACTTGACACCATCTAGGACAAAGCCAAAACAAATCACTAGAGGAGCAGGAAGGCTGACGTTTCGGGCCTCGACCCTTCTTCAGAAAAAATATTCACAAACTTTCACACTGTATACATTAATGCTTAGTAGCAGCAGTGTGTACCATCTTTCCCATCCTGACAGAAATATAACGCTGTTCTTTCATTGTCGCTGGGTCCAATCCTGGAATTCCCTCCCTAAGGGCATTGTGGGTTTATTTTGGACTTTCCGTCTCTCTTCCTCTCTCTGTCCTGGATATTTTGTGCTCTGGTATGCTTGGAATGGTAATATGCAATGTCCATGGTATGCTCAATGACCTGTGAGCATCGTCCACTCCGAGGATCAGATTTTAATGGAATTTATTAAGTTTCCTTTAAAGCGGTTTAAGTTAGAGTCAAATACTGGTTCACCTTTTAAAATAAAAGGTAGGATCTGCAAACTCATAGTCAATGAAACAATTATCTTTACAGGATAGGCAAAAACTAGAAAGTGAGTGGAATTTTCAAATCATAGCATGGTTTCAGCACAAAGGAGGGCATTCTGTTTTTATATTTCAGGTCTCCAACACCAGCAGTATTTGCTCTTTTTTCAGTAGAGAAAGACTGTCAGACTGAGTAGCTCTTGCTTTCCCTGTCAGTTGCTTATTGTCTTACTCCTACTTTTCCATTGTCCACCTACAGGTGTTCACAGCCCTTGCTTTGGTGGGAATGCTGATTCAACCCCTAAATAACTTCCCTTGGGTGCTGAATGGGATACTACAAGCAAAGGTTTCCTTGGACCGGATCCAACGCTTTCTCCAGCTTTCTGACCAGGATCTCAGTACCTACTATATGGCACGTAAGTTGATAAGATTAGTTTTGAAACAGAAAAGAACAGAAGGTAATTGCAGATAACAAGGTGTAGAGCTTGATGAACACAGCGGGCCAAGCAGCATCAGAGGAGCAGGAAAGCTGACGTTTCGGGTCGAGACCCTTCTTCAGAAATGGGGGAGGGGAAGGGGATTCTGAAATAAATAGGGAGAGAGGGGGAGGCGGATAGAAGATGGATAGAGGAGAAGATAGGTGGAGAGGAGACAGACAGGTCAAAGAGGCGGGGATGGAGCCAGTAAAAGTGAGTGTAGGTGGGGAGTTAGGGAGGGGATAGGTCAGTCCAGGGAGGATGGACAGGTCAAGGGGGCGGGATGAGGTTAGTGGGTAGGAGATGGGGATGGGGCTTGAGGTGAGAGGAGGGGATAGGTGGGAGGAAGAACAGGTTAGGGAGGCAGGGACGAGCTGGGCTGGTTTTGGGATATGGTAGGGGGAGGGGAGATTTTGAAGCTTGTGAAGTCCACATTGATACCATTGGGCTGCAGGGTTCCCAAGCGAAATACGAGTTGCTGTTCCTGCAGCCTTCAGGTGGCATCATTGTGGCAATGCAGGAGGCCCAGGATGGACATGTCGTCCAAGGAGTGGGAGGGAGAGTTGAAATGGTTCGCCACTGGGAGGTGTAGTTGTTTGTTGCGAACTGAGCGTAGGTGTTCCACAAAGCGGTCCCCAAGCCTCCGTTTGGTTTCCCCGATGTAGAGGAGGCCACAACGGGAACAGCGGATACAGTATACCACATTAGCAGATGTGCAGGTGAACATCTGTTTGATGTGGAAGGTCTTCTCAGGGCCTGGGATGGGGGTGAGGGGGAAGGTGTAGGGGCAGGTGTAGCACTTGCTGCGGTTGCAGGGAAAAGTGCTGGGGGTGGTGCGGTTGGTGGGCAGTATGGAGCGGACAAGGGAGTCACAGAGAGAGTTGTCCCTCCGGAAAGCAGATAAGGGTGGGGAGGGAAAAATATCTTTGGTTGTGGAGTCAGATTGCAGATGGCGGAAGTGTCGGAGGATGATGCGTTGGATTCAGAGGTTGGTGGGGTGGTACGTGAGGATGAGGGGGATTCTGTTTTGGTTGTTATTGCAGGTAGGGGGTGTGAGGAATGAGTTACGGGAAATGCGCGAGTCACGGTCGAGGGCGTTTTCGACCACTGTGGAGGGGAAGTTGCGGTCCTTGAAAAACAAGGACATCTGGGATGTCCGGGAGTGGAATGCCTCATCTCGGGAGCAGATGCAGTGGAGGCGAAGGAATTGGGGATGGCCTTTTTGCAGGAAGGTGGGTGAGAGGAGGTGTATTCTAGGTAGCTGTGGGAGTCGGCAGGTTTGAAATGGATATCGGTTTCCAAGTGGATGCCAGAGATGGCGACAGAGAGGTCCAGAAAGGAGAGACAGGTATCAGAAATGCTCCAGGTGAACTTAAGGTTGTGGTGGAAGTTGTTAGTGAAGTGGATGAACTGTTCGAGCTCCTCGTGGGAGCACGAGACAGCGCCAATACAGTCATCGATATAACGGAGGAAGAGGTGGGGTTTAGGGCCAATGTAGCTTTGGAAGAGGGATTGTTCCACGTATCCTACAAAGAGGCAGGCATAGCTTGGGCTCATGCGGGTACCCATGGCCACCCCCTTTGTCTGTAGGAAGTGGGAGGAATTGAAGGAGGAGTTGTTAAGGGTGAGGACGAGTTCAGCTAAGCGGATGAGGGTGTCAGTGGAGGGGGACTGGTCGGGCCTGCGGGACAGGAAGAAGCGGAGGGCCTTTGGGCCATCTGCATGGGGAATGCAAGTGTATAGGGACTGGATGTCCATGGTAAAGATGAGGTGTTGTGGACCAGGGAATCGGAAGTTTTGGAGGAGGTGGAGGGTGTGGGTGGTGTCATGGATGTAGGTGGGGAGTTCCTGGACCAACGGGGAGAAAATGGAGTCTAGATAGTTGGAGATCAGTTCGGTGGGGCAGGAGCAGGCGGAGACAATGGGTCGACCAGGGCAGTCAGGTTTTTGGATTTTGGGAAAGAGATAGAAATGGGCGGTGTGGGGTTGGGGAACGATGAGGTTGGAGGCTGTGGGTGGGAGGTCACCTGAAGTGATGAGGTTGTGGATGGTCTGGGAGATGATGGTTTAGTGGTCAGGGGTGGGATCATGATCAAGGGGGCGGTAGGAGGAGGTGTTAGAGAGCTGGCGTCTGGCCTCGGCGATGTAGAGGTCAGTGCGCCATACTACAACTGCGCCACCCTTGTCCGTGGGTTTTATGGTGAGGTTGGGATTGGAGCGGAGGGAGCGGAGGGCTGGATGTTCTGCGGGGGAGAGGTTGGAGTGGGTGAGAGGGGTGGATAGGTTGAGGCGATTGATGTCTCGATGGCAGTTGGAGATGAAGATGTCGAGGGAGGGTAGGAGGTCTTGGGGTGGTGTCCAGGAGGAGGGGGTATGTTGGAGGCGGGAGAAGGGGTCAGTAGAGGGAGGGTCAGGCTCACGGTTAAAGAAGTAAGCGTGGAGGTGGAGACGGCGGAAAAACTGTTCAACGTCCAAATGTGAGTTGTATTCGTCGATGTTTGGGTGGAGGGGGACAATGGTGAGCCCTTTACTGAGGACTGACCGTTCGTCCTCAGTGAGGGGGATGTCTGGGGGGATGGTGAAGACTCGGCAGGGCTGGGTGCTACAGTTTCCTCTGGAGCTGCTGGCTGTGGAGGCGGTGGGCGGAGCGACATAGGCCGGTAAACCTTGGATGTTGGTGGCAGCGGCATCCTCGATGTCTGCGGTGTCGGCCTCGGAAACGGAGGCAGCGGTGTCGATGGCGTCGGCTGTACTGGAAGTGGCGTACCAGGTGGCGGCAGATGTGACATCATCCGTGGAATCCGTGGGTGCTCCGAAGGTGGCCACGTGGCCAATGATGGCGGGCACATGGTGGGGAAGGTCCTGGGTAGGGTGGCAGGCACCAGTAAGTTTAAAGTACTTTTGGTTTTTCGTGTCCAATAAAGTCGAGTAGAATTGTGAGTTCAGGTTGTAGATCCTATAAAGAATAAAAAACAGGAGAGGTCCTTTGCAGGTCTGGGAGAGGGAGGCTCTGAGCTGGGGTAGGCTTAATTGTAGTATCAGGAGATGCCAGCGCATTGGTGCGAGTGTGTGTTTCAGGAGTCGCAGGGAGAAACGCTTCTGAAGGATATCAATGTTCTGAATATATACAGAAGCTAATTGCAGATGAGATAGACATCCTAATTTGATAAGCAGAATGCCTAAATTTCTATTTCATCAGTTGATGATAAATTATTTTTGTTTAATTTGCTTAGAGGTTGTGGCTTTGCTGGCTGGGCCAGCATTTATTGTCCATCCCTTGTTGATTTCAAGTCTTTGCCCTTCTGAGCTGTATGTAGAAGGCCATTTCTTGTTTGATGATGACTCTGGGAGAACCTTTTGATATCAGTCTTAAATTTGCCTTACTGGCTGCAAAAGACTATTGAAGAGGCAGTGGCACAGGAGTAGTGTCATTAAATTAAAAATCCATATGTCTGGGCTAATGGGGACATGGGTTTAAATCCCACCATGGCAGAAAGGCAAATTCGAATTTGATAAATAAGTCTGGAATTGATACTGGTCTCAGTAATGGGCGCTGTGAAACCTTGATTTTTGTAAAAGCCTGAGAGGGAATGAAAACTGCTTTCCTTACATGGTCAGTCCTTTATGTCATGATTAACTGTAGTAAGAGCACCAGGGTAGGACACTTGAAATCAAGCTCCAGTATTCCTGGAGTTGTCACAAAGGTGAAAAGATTTGATTAAAATATCCAAAGCCCTCAGTTAACGTGTTTGATGAACCCAGGTTAAAAGAAAACACTCATCAGGTTTCTGCACTTGACAAGAAAGCAGCTATATATTGCAAACAGTTTGTTTTTGACCGATGGTAGGAACAAAACACGAGTTGCTAATTTATAAGTTTTTGTAACTTAAACTCTAGCAGTTTTTGAAAAAATAATCCCATAAGCATAAAACCAGAGTCACAAAAAACAAGACCAGGTGGGGATAGAATAAGCAGCAAACTCAGTGAAACACAGTTCTAACACCAGTCCAGATTACAGGTGTCGCTGAGGTATTTCCCTTCAGTTCAGTTTAGCTTTTTGAGGAGGATATGAGGTTGTAGACAAGCTGATTCTCAACAACCTTCTATTCACTGCTTGCTGATTCACCCCTTCATTGTCTCTGAAGGTGATTTTACTCTTTTCTCTTTGAAGAAGATAATTTGTAGAGACAGAAGAAGAATAGCTAGCTGCTTGCTTTTTCATCTCTCATATATCGAAGAAAGAGAGAGAGAGCGAGCGAGTAAGATGTTCTCTACTTCCCAAATTGGATTTTTCTGCTGTATTATCCAAACACAAAGCTGTAGCCACTCAAGAAGTTGTCACAATGCTGCTGAACACATGATTAATCCTGGTTGTAAAACCAATCAAAAGTCTGTCACAGGGCAAAAATACACCCACGAAAGTGAGGTATAAAACATCCTCTCCCACAGCTTGAATAAGGCAACCTTGTGGATGTAACATACATTGAGATCCAGTAAGTCATTTTTTTTAAAAGCAGCGAAATTTTTATCCAGCAGTTCATTGGTTTAAAGCAGTACCTTGTCCCATTTTTAAGTCCAAAGCCTAAAAAACAAAAGTGGCCATTGCATTCATGTGACTCTGGATCCATAGCAATTTGGTTAACCCCTAAATGACCTCTGAAATGGCCTTGTTACTGTGTCAGACTTCTTGGAAGCCAAGAAGGAATGATTGCACTGCGGGTACTTACATCTCATATTGTATGTTGTTTAAGAAGGTGGCTCACCACAACCTTCTCAAGGGTAATTAAGGATAGGTAACAAATACTGACCTCTCCAGCGATGGCCACATCTATGAAAGGATTTTTAAAAAAAAAAAGAGTCTGCCAGTTGTGAAAAATGCTGCATAATTCTAGTTTTGTGTTTTTATTATCAGGTTTTTAACCTTTTATTAGTTTAAACTTGTCTTCCTCGATCTAACTTTAATTTAAGTCTGATATAATTAAGTATTATTTTAACATTTTTATAGACCCTGTAAGATCATTCAGATATGAGGCAAAAGCAAGAACACACTATTGAGTTGGGTGTCAGTCACAGTTGTATTGAATTGCACAGCAGGCTTGAAGGGCCGAATGGTCGATTCCTCGTCCTATTTTCTGTGTTTATCTTCTTTCCAGGTTCACAGGTAACTCCCTGATGGTGAAGGCTAATCTGCTCTGTCCAGTTTTAACCTTATTATTTTCAGGAAGATGTAAGTGCCTAGGACGCAGCATAGAGGAGGTTTACTGGATTAATAGCTGCAATGAGTAGGTTGTCTCATGAGGAAACATTGGAAAGGCAGGACTTGTTTTCACTGGAGTTTAGAACAGTGAAGAGTCATTTGATTGATGTGTATGAGATCTTGAATGGTATTAACAAGGTGAATGTGAAATCAGCCCAGAACTTGCTGAGATATCACAGTGTGGAGCTGGAGGAACACAGCAGGTCAGGCAGCATCAGAGGAGCGGAAAAGCTGATGTTTTGGGTCGGGACCCTTCTTCAGAAAAAACTTGCTGGCAGGGTTTTGAAATTAGGGACAGAGATAATTTTTCTTTCTCTGATGATATTTCTAAAGTTGCACACTGTACCTTATAAGGTGATGGAAGTGGAGTCCTTGAATATTTTTAAGATGTATGTAGGTAATCTCTTGGTAGGCAAGAGAATCAAAGGCTATTAGGTAGATTGGAGTGTGTAATTTACAATTCAAATCAACTGTCATCATATTGAATGGCAGAGCAAGTGTTAAAGATAGCATCAAATCAAAATAAAAAAGACCTACAACATGGCAAAGATTACTGGTAAGCCAGAAGATTGGGAAAGTTTTGGAAATCAAGCAAAAGATGACCAAAGAATTGAGAAAGAAGGATAAAATAAACTTTGAGGGTAACTAGCAAGCAATACCAAAACAGATACCAAGAACTTGTTTCAGTATTTAGAAAGGAAGCAAGAGGCCAAAGTGAACAGGTCTTTTTGAGGGTGAAATTAGGGGCAAACCTTTCAGGGGGCCTGTTGAACCTTCCCCGCTATTTCATAGGAGTGTGGCTAATCAAAAATGCATTTTTCTCATCCCTTTCGCATAACCCTGTCACTAGTAATCAGAAATCTGTCAATCTCTACTTTAAACATACTCAAAGACTGAACTTCCACAGCCCTCTGTGGTAGAGAATTCCAAAGATTCACAAGGCTCTGATTAAAAAATTCTCCTTATCTCAGACATAAGTGGTATCACCCTTATTTTTAAATTGTGCCCTTGGTTTGACAATCCCCAACCAGCGGAAATATCTTACCTGTATCTACCTTGTCTAACTCTTGAAGTATTTTATAAGTTGCAGTGAGATCACCTTTCATTCTTGGAAACTCTAGATAATACAGGCCCCATTTGCCCAGCCTCCCTCCATAGAGAAGTCACGGCTACCCAGGAACAAGTCTGGTGAATTTTTGACACAAAAACAGAAATTGTTGGAAAAGCTCAGCAGGTGGAGAGAAATCAGATTTTGGGCCCAGTGACCCTTCTTCAGAACTGAGGTTAACTGGTGAATTTCTGTTGCAGGTCCTCTCAGGCAAGTAATATTTTTTTCTGAGACAACGAGACTAAAACTGCACACAGTACTTCAGTTGCAGTCTAACTGAGCTCCTATACAATTAAAGCAAGACTTCACTGTTCCTGTACTCTCATCCTCCTGCAATGAAGGCTAACATTCTTCCTAAGTCTTTCTAAGGCTTGCTGCACGTACATTTGTCCTACAGTGAATTATTAACAAGGACACTTAGATCCCTTTGCGCATCCACACTTAACAACCTCTTACTGTTTCACCATTTCTACCAACGTGGACAACCTAAAAATTTTCTGCATTATATTCCATGTCCTTGCCCATTGCCCTCGATAGGAGGTATTAGCCTGGAGATATTATTGGTGTATTATTAATCTAGAGATGCAGGTAATGTTCTGCGGATACGGGTTCGAATCCTGCATGGTATGTGGTGGAAATTGAATTCAACAAAATCTGGAATCTTGAGACTGTTACATGACTCACTGCAGCTATACATTCCTTCGGGATGTGGGGTCTCAGCAAAGCTCAGTCAGCTGCGGCTATCAACAGGATGGCATAAGATTAAAAGAAAAACATCTATGGAGTTGCAAAAATAGCAATTTTTTGCAACTTCAGAGGATTGGGAGGTTTCTGGAATATAATAAATCAGAACCAAGACACAGATAAGCAAAGTGAGAGCATCGAAACCATTATCGATTGTCTGAGTTAAGAGTCAACCACATTGTGGGTTTGGAGTCACATGTAGGTCAGACCAGGTTTCCTTCCCCAAAGGAGATTCGTGAACCAGATGGGTTTTTCTGCCAATCGACAATAGATTCATGGTTGTCGTTAGACATGGTTGTCGTTAGACTCTTAATTCCAGATTCTTATTGGATTCAAATTCCATCATCTGCCATGGCAGGATTTGAATCTGGGTCACCGGAATATTACCTGGTCTCTGGATTAACAGTTCAGCGATAATACCACCAGGCCACCACCTCCCACTGAGATAGCGCCTTCCAAACTCCTGACCCCTTTCATCTAGTAGGGCAAGGGCAACAGATATATGGGAACACCACCACCTTCAAGTTCCCCTCCAAGCCACTCACCATCCTGACTTGAAAATATACCGCCGTTACTTCACTGTCGCTGGTTCAGAATCCTGGAATTCCCTCTCTAATGGTGTTGTAGGTCCGCCTACAGCATATGGACTGCAGCGGTTCAAGAAGGCAGCTCACCACCACCTTCTCAAGGGCAACTAGGGACAGGCAATAAATGCTGGCCCAGCCAGCGATGCCCACATCCCTGGAGTGGAAAAAAAAACCTGGGATGGCAAAGTGGAGCAGTCAAAGCCAGAATCCTCTTTCCATTTGCAAACTCTTTTATCATAAACACTTTATGGCAGATTGTGACCACTGGTACCCCAGAAGGATCTGTGATAGGGCCTCAATTATTCACATTATTTATTAATGACTTGGATAAGAGCATAGAAAATAATATCTTCAAATTTGCTCATGACACAAAGTTAGGCGTCACTGTGTTGATGAAAGCATAAAATTACAAAAGGATAGTGATAGACTAAGCGAATGAGCAAACCTATGGCAGATGGAGTTCAATGTAAGCAAGTATGGGGTTATCTATTTTGGACCAAGGAAGGATAGATCAGGGTACATTTCAGATGGTAGGAAGAGACTTGGAGGTTCAGGTGCATAGAGTTTTAAAATGTCACAAACATGTGCAGAAAATAAATGAGGAAGTTAATGGAATGCTGGTCTTTATATCTGGAGGATTGGAGTACGAGGAGACGGAAGTTATGTTGCAGTTATACAAAACCCTGGTTAGACCCCAGTTGGAGAACTGAGAGCGGATCTGGGCACCACGCCTTAGGAAGTATAGGATACGTAATGGCCTTGGAGGTTTACCAGAATGATAACTTAACCCCTGAAGTCCGGGTATGAAGAAATATTGTACAAGTTAGGGAAGACCTTTCAGAGAGATGTTTGAAAGCACTTATACACGCACAGGGTGACAGAAGTTTGAAACTCTTCCACAAATGACTGTTGATGCAGGATCAGTTGTTAATTTTAAAACTGAGAGAGATAAATTTTGTTAAGAGATATGGGCTGAAGGCAGGTGAATGGAATTAGGCCACAGGTCAGCCATGATCTCATTGAATGACATAACAGGCTTGAAGGGCTGAATAGCCAACTCCTGCTCTTATGTTCCTAATCAGTGAGGTAATGGCAGAGAGAATGAATTGTTCTATCTATTTGTCTTACTATTGATGGGAGTTATGATCTTCAGGTGCCTTTTTAAAGACATGATTTTGTACCTGAATAGTTGGTAAGGAGTTTGAAATTAGGCTTCCCATTCAGAAATGGTTGAAAATGTCAGTCACATAGCAGACCTCTCACTCAGTGTCACTTTGTATATAGGGGAACCAGAGGACCCTGACTCTGCAGTAGAACTGCATGATGCTTCCTTCTCTTGGATTCCTGAAGAAACAACTGGTACCAGGCCTGAAGGCAGTTTGGAACTCCTTAACCTGAATCTAATGCTGAAACAGGTAAGCTCACTGCTAAAATTGGTGGTGAATTTCTGATTAATCCCTTCTCTTATTCTGAACTCCAACAGATAGCTGCTGAGCCTGTCATCTTTTTTCATAAGGCAACCCACAACTTCCAAGTATTAGAATGCTAAACTGTTTCGGGACTACAGACAACGTATTTACATTCTACCCTAAATAATACCCATTAATACTTTTTTAAACACAACATTTATTGCCCATCCCTAATTGTCTAGAGGGCAATTAAGTGTCAACCGCATTGCCGAGCGCCTGGAGTCATGTGTAGACCAGACCAGCTGAGAATGACTGACAGTTTCTTTCCCGAAAGGACATGAGTGAACCAGATGAGTTTTTTTAAGAATTGGCAACGGTTTTATGGTCATCATTAATTCCAGATTTTTATTGAATTCAAGCTTCACCATCTCCCTGGTGAGATTCCACGTTTCTATTTTTTTCATTTTCCATGCCAAAATGCCCAATTTCACATTTTCTCGCAGTGTACTTCATTTACCTTGCTCGCACATTTAAAGCTTTTTGTAGCATCTTTATGTCCTCTTTGCAACTTAATTTACGACTGATTGTTGCATCATCAGTAAATTTGGCAACAATACTTTCCTCCAGTAGAATGAAAACCACATCTGTGCATCCCCTGTTCAAGAAGGGAGGGAGATACAAAATAGGAAACTATAGGCCGATTCACCTAACACCTTTCAATGGGGCTTCTTTCCTTGGAGTGTCAGAGGCTCAGGGTGGACCTTGTAGAGATTGATAAAATGATGAGGAGCATGGATAGGGCGGATAATCAAGGTCTTTTTCCCAGGGTAATTAGGTGAAAGGGGAAAGATTTAAAAGGGACCCAAGGGGCAACTTTTTCACATAGAGGGTGGTGCATGTATGGAATGAGCTGCCAGAGGAAGTAGTGGAGGCTGGTATGATTACAGCAATTAAAAGGCATCTGGATGGGTACAGGGATAGAAAAGGCCTGAAGGGATATGGGTGAAATGATGGCAAATGGGACTAGGTTAATTTAGGATATTGGTCAGCATGAACGAGTTGGACCAAAGGGTCTGTTTCCATGCAATAGAACTCGATGACTCTATGATCTTTCTTTGGGAAAATGCAAAAGTTCATTGCTGAGGAAGAAACAGCTTAATACAACCAAACAATGTCAACATGAGTAAATGAGAGGGAAATCGTATTGACAAATTTGGTAAAGTTTTTTGAGAGTATAACACTATAAAATAAAGGAGCAGACTTTGGCCATTTGGCCAATTGAGTCTGCTTTGCCATTCGATCATGACTGATATATTTTTCAATCCCATTCTCCTGCCTTCTTCCTGCAACCCTTGATCTCCTTACTAATCAAGAGCCTATCTATCTCTGTCTTAAATACACTTAGTGACTTGGCTTCCACAGCCTTCTATGTCAATGATTTCCACAGATTAACTGCCCTCTGGCTGAAGAGATTCCTCCAAATCTCAGTTCTAAAGAGTTGTCACTTCACCCTGAGGCTGTGCCCTCGGGTCCTAGTCTCTACGACGAGTGGAAACATCTCCATACCCACGCTATCCAGGCCTCTCCGAATTCTGTAAGTTTTAATCAGATCCCCCCCCACATCCCTCTAAACTCCATCAAGTACAGACCCAGAGTCCTCAACCGCTCCTCATATGACAAGCCCTTCATCTCCACAATCATTCTTGTAAACCTCCTCTGGACCCCCTCCAACACCAGTACATCTTTCCTTAGATACAGGGCCCAAAATGCTCAAAATATTCCAAATACAGTCTGAACAGTGCTTTATATAGCCTAAGCAGTACAACTCTGCTTTAGTATTCCAGCCCTCTTGAAATGAATGCTAACATTGCAATTGCCTTCCCAACTGCCAACTGAACCTACATGTTAACCTTTAGAGAATCCTGAATGAGGACTCCCAAGACTCTTTATGCTTTAGTTTTCTGAAGCCTTTCCCAGTTTTGAAAATACTCTACATCCCTATTCTTCCTACAAAAGTGGGCTAATAACAAGTTCAACCACTTCAGAGTATGACCTCCGTCCTCCATTTTGATTACAACTTCCCTCACTTGCACCTTGCCCCCAGTCTTGTTGCTTTGTTCTCAGCAGAGTAGGCCCATTTTCCCCTTTTAATGTCTATCATTTACACCTCATGTAATTCTCTATTTTTCTGTACCACCATTAACGTCCGCTTTGCCCTTTGCTATGGACACTCTAAAAACTGTTCAACTCACTCCTCCTCCTCCTCCTCTGCCAACAGCATAAAAACCATTTTCCAGCCACTTTGAAGACTCAGGATGTTAATTCCATATCTCCACCTTTGCTGCCAGACCTGCAGAATTTCCCAGTATTTTCTGTGTTTATTTCAGATTTCCAGCATCCACAGCATTTCGCTTTTATTATAGGAAGTAAATGTGAAGCATTTTCTTATAGAAAGAGCACACAAATAAGATTCCCATGCAATTGCTGACAAAAGATTTGTGTTTTATAACCATAGATAGAAAGTCATAGAGTCAAACAGCATGGAAACAGACCCTTTGGTCTAATTCATCCATGCTGACCCATTTTCCCACCTGCTTGCATTTGGCCCATATCCCTCTAAACTTTTCCTGTTCATGGGCTTGGCCAAATGTCTTTTAAATGTTGTAACTGCACCTGCATCTGCCACTTCCTCTGACAGATCATTCCATACATGCATCATACTCTATGTGAAAATTTGCCTCTTAGGTCCCTTTTAAGTCTCTCCTCTCAATTTAAACCTATGCCCTCTAGTTTTGGTCTTCTCCAACCTTGGAAAAAGATCTTGGCTATTCACCTTATCTATGCTCCTCATTATTTTATAAACCTCTAGAAGGTCACCCCTCAGCTTCCCAAGCTCCAAGAAAGAAAGTCCCAGCCTATCCAGCATCGCCTTCTAACTCAAACCTCCAGTCCTGGTAACATTCTTGTAAATTTTTTCTGCACCATTTATAGTTTAAGAACCATCTTCCTATGGCAAGGCGACCAGCATTGTAGGCAGTATTCCAAATGTTGCCTCACCAATATCCCGTAAAGCTACAATATGACATGCCAACTGCAATATTCAATGCTCTGTCCAATTTAAGCGTGCTGTTCTGTGTGGCGCTGTGATTGTATAGTGGTTAGTACTCTGTGTTGCGGCTCCAGTAACCTTGGTTCGTATCTGAGTCGTGGCAGTGGGTACTTGATGTATTTTGTGAGGAGGCGATGGCCCAGTGGTGTTAATCCAGAGACCCACATAACATTCTGGGGACCTGGGTTCAAATCCTGCCATGGCAGATGGTGGAATTTGAATTCAGTAAAAGTCTGGAATTAAGAATCTAACAATGACCATGAATCTATTGTCGATTGTCAGGAAAAACCCATCTGGTTCACTAATGTCCAATCTTACCTGGTCTGGCCTACATGTGACTCCAGACCCACAGCAACGTGGTTGACTCTCAACTGCCCTCGGGGCAATTAGGGATGGGCAATAAATGCTGGCCAGCCAGGAACGCCCTCATCCTGTTAATGAATAAAGGAAAGGTGAATGTGCCAAAGGCCTTCTCCACCACCCTGTCCTCATACGATGCAGCCTTCAAGGAACTATGCACCTGCACTCCTATGTCTCTCTGTTTGACAACACTCCCCAGGGCCTAACCATTAACTCTTAAGTCCTGCCCTGGTTTGTCTTACATCTCTGTATTGTTAATATTCACGTCCATGTTGTTAATATACAGCTCCACATTATTCATATTCACCTCTGTGTTGGTAATATTGAATACAAAAAGAAAAAAAGTCATTTGTCATTTATATAAATGATTTGGATGCGAACATAGGAGGTACGCCTAGTATTTGCAGAAGAAACCAAAATTGGAGGTGTAGTGGACAGTGAAGAAGGTTACCTCGAGTACAGTCGTATCTTTCAAGGAACTTTCAAGATGGGCCAGTGGCCTGAGGAGTGGCAGAAGGAGTTTAGTTCCTTCACTGCCGCTGGGTCAAAATCCTGGGATTCCCTCCCTAATAGCATTGTGGGTCAACCCACAGCAGGAGGAATGCAGCAGTTCAAGAAAGCAGCTCACCACCACCTTCTCAAGGGCAACGAGGGATGGGCAAGAAATGCTGGCCAGCCACTGACGCCCACAACCGACAAAATGAATAGAATAAGAAAGTGGAGTCGCAGGTAGATAGAATAGTGAAGAAGGTGTTTGGGATGCTTGCCTTTATTGGTCAGTACATTGAGTATAGAAGTCGGGAGGTCATGTTGCAGCTGTACAAGGCATTAGCTAGGCTGCTTTTGGAATACTGCATGCAATTCTAGTCTCCCTGCGATAGGAAGGATGTTGTGAAACTTGAAAGGGTTCAGAAAAGACTTACAAGGATGTTGGCAGGGTTGGATAGTTTGACCTATAAGACTGGGGCTATTTTCCCTGGGGCATCGGAGGCTGAGGGGTGACCTTATAAAGGTTTATAAAATCATGAGGGACATGGATAGTGTAAATAGACAAGGTCTTTTCCCAGGGCAGGGGAGACCAAAGCTAGAGGGCAGGGGTTTAAGGTGAGGGGGGAAAGATTTAGAAGGGACCTAAGGGACACCATTTTCAAGCAGAGGGTGGTGTGTGTATCGAGTGAGCTGCCAGTGGAAGTAGTGGAGGCTGATACAATTACAGCATTTCAAAGGCATCTGGATGGGTATACGAATAGGATGGATTTTGGGGATATGGGCCAAATGCTGGCAAATAGGACTAGATTTTTTAATGTTTTAACGTAAATCTGTAGTTCGGGTTGCAGTTGGAGTTGTTGGTTGGTTCGCCGAGCTGACTACTCGTCATTGCTGTGTAGCCTCTGTTGAATGCTGTTGTTCTGTCCCGCTCTGAATTTATACGGTCCGGTTTGTCATGGTGGGCAGTCTTGCTTCTGGTTTTGTACCATAGTGTTATATAGATGGGGTCTATTTCAATATGTTTGCTTATTGCATCGATGGTTGAAAACCAGGCCTCCAGGAATTCTCGTACTTGTCTTTGTTTTGCTTGTCAGTAGTACTGTGGCTTTGTCCCAGTTAGACTGATGTCCTTCTATGTCTGAGTGTATTGAAATGAGGGAGAGTTGGTCGTGCCATTTTGCTGCAAGTTAGTGTTCATGTATCCTGGTGCTGAGTTTCCTGCTCATCTGTCCTATGTAGGTTTTCTCATTTTGTACATCACATTTGTCCTGTTCATTGTGAGTATGGGGTCTTGCGTCTTTGAGAGTAACTGGCGAAGTGTGGCTGTTGATTTGTGTGCAATTCTTTATTCCAAGAGGTTGTAGGACTCTTGTATTCAGTTCTGATGTGTTTCTAATATAGGGTAGGGTGGCCAGTGTGTTGGGGCACACAATGTCTTCTTGGTGTTGTTTGTTTGCTAAGCATTGGTGGACGAGACTGTTGGGATACCCATTGTTTGCAAAGACTCTGTATAGGTCTACCTCTTCATTTTTGCGCGGCTCTGGAGTGTTGTGTGTTATCGCTCGTTTATACAGAGTCTTGACACAGCCCTATTTGTGGACACTGAGGCGATTAGTGTTGTAATTCAGGATTTGGTCAGTGTGTGTAGTCTTTCTGTATATGCCGGTAAGGAATTCACTGTTGTTCGTTCATTCCACCATTACACCTCGAAATGGGAGTTGATTGTTGTTCTCTTCTTCTCTGTTGAACTTGATCCCGGTGAATGTGCTGTTAATAAGGTGGTGTGTTTGTTCTAACTTTGCTCGTTTAATGATCGCAAAGGTATTGTCCACGTGTCTAACCCACAGTTTAGGCTGGATCTGGTGAGGGCTGTGCATTCCAGTCTTTGCATAACAGCTTCTGCTATGAGCACCGACGTGGGTGAACCTATGGGTGTTCCATTAATTTCTTCATATACCTGGCCATTGAAGACGATGTATATGGTAAGGCATAGGTCCAGTAATTTTAGCATGTTGTCCTTACTGATGGTTTCATTGGAGGTTTGTGTTTTCGGATTGTCCAATAATGTGGCCAAAGTTACAGTACTATGACAAGCAAAACAAAAACAAGCACAGGAATTCCTGGAGGCCTGGTTTTCAACCATCGATGCAATAAGCAAACATGTTGACCCCATCTACATACCACTCCAGTACAAAATCAGAAACAAGACTGTCCACCATGACAGGCCGGACCATATAAATTCAGAGTGGGACAGAACAACAGCGCTTCAACGGAAGCTGCACAGCATTGACGATGTCACCTAGAAGGGAGACGAAACGTTTGCATGAAAACCAGTCAGCTCGGCAAACCAACCAACAACTTCAGGATTAGAAAACTTCCAGTTTTCAGGTTCCAGCTGCCTCCTCTTTACCATGGACGTTTAATCCCTTTACACATCCATTCCCCACCAGGATGGTCTCAGGGCTGTCGGCTTCTTACTGGAGCAAAGGCCTGAACCGTCCCCACCCACCACCACCCTCCTCTACTTGGCTGAGCTCATCCTCACTCTCAACAACTTCTCTTTTAACTCCTCTCATTTTCTTCAGGTCAGAAGGGTGGCTATGGGTACCTGCATGGGCCCAAGTTATGCCTGTCTGTTCGTGGGGTATGTGGAACATTCGTTGTTCCAGTCCTATTCCAGGCCCCACCCACAATTCTTTCTCCAATATATCGATGATATTGAGGTTGGTTGGCTCGCCGAGCTGTTTTGTTGTTCTGCACACGTTTCGTTACCGTGCTGGATAACATCCTCAGTGCAGCAACTGATGAAGAGGCTGCACTGAGGATGTTACCCAGCATGGTAACGAAACGTCTGCGGAACAACAAAACAGCTCGGCGAGCCAACCAACCTCAACACCCACAACCTGAGCTACAGATCTACTCCAAAACCTTAGATATCGATGATATCATTGGTGCTGCTTCCGTCTCTCATCTGGAATTGGAAAAGTTCGTCGATTTTGCTTCCAATTTCCACCCTGCCCTCACTTTCACCTGGTCTATCTCTGACTCCTCCTTTCCCTTCCTCGATATCTCTGTTTCCATTTCTGGGGATAGACTGGCCACTAATATCCACTATAAACCCTCCCACAGCTACCTGGACTATACATCCTCACACCCTGCTTTCTGTAAAGACTGCATCCTATTCTCTCAGTTCCTCTGTCTCCATCGCATATTATCAGGTGAGTCCAACTTCGACCAGGGAGCCTCTGAAATGTCCACCTTCTTCCTCAACCAAGGATTCCTTAGCACTGTTGTCGACAGGGCCCTCAACCGAGTCTGACCCATCTCCCGCACTTCCGCCCTCAACCCTTCTGTTCCCTCCCGCAACAGTGATAGGGTTCCCCTAGTCCTTATCTACCATCCCACCAGCATCCACATCCAGAAGATCATCAGATGCCATTTCTGCCACCTCAAGCACGATGCCACCACCAGATACATATTACCCTCCCCCTTGTCCGCCTTCTGCAGGGACCCTTCCTTCCAGGACACCCTGGTCCACTCTTATTTCACCCCCAACACACACCCACAGCCCCAAGGCACCTTCTCCTGCAAACAGCAAAGGTGCAACATGTGCCCATTTACCTCCTTCCCACTATCCAAGGTCCCAAACATTCACCTTCACCTGCAGTTCCCACACTGTAGCCTGAGATAGTAAGAACTGCTGATGCTGGAGTCAGAGATAACACAGTGTGGAGCTGGAGGAGCACAGCAGGGCAGGCAGCATCAGAGGAGCAGGAAAGTTGACGTTTTGGGTTGGGACCCTTCTTCAGAAATTTGTGTTATCTCCACAATGTAGTCTGCTATATTCGCTGCTGCTCACAATGTTGTCTCCTCTACACTGGGGAAACGAAGTATAGACTGGGTGACTGTTCGCATCTATGTTCTGCTCACAAAAAAGACCCTGACCTACCTGTTGCCTGCCACTTTAACATACCACACTGTTCCCTGGCACATCTCTGTCTCAGGCTTGTTGCAGTGTTCCAGCGAAGCTCAACACCTCATTTTTCTCTTGGGGATCCTGCAGTCCTCCAGACTTAATATCAAGTTCAATAATTTTAGGGCCCAAACTCTCCTGTCTTCTTGATTCATTCATGGGATGAGGGCGTTGCTGGCTAAGCAGCATTTATTGCCCATCCCTAATTGCCCAGAAGGCAGTTAAGAGTCAACCATGTTGTCGTGGATCTGGAGTCACATGTAGGCCAGACCAGGTAAGGATGGCAGTTTCCTTCCTTAAAGGACATTAGTGAACCAGATGGGTTTTTCCGACAGTCGGCAATGAATTTATGGTCATCATTAGACTCTTAATTCCAGATATTCATTGCATTCAAATTCCACCATCTGCCGTGGCAAGATTTAAACCTGGGTCCTCAGAATGTTATCTGGGTCTTCAGATTAACAGTCCAGTGATAATACCACTGGGCCATTGCCTCCCCCTGTCCCATGTCCTAGCCCCCTACCCCACACACCAGGCCTTGTTATCACATAGCCTGCCATTACAGAGAGCTTACCTGTTGTTAGTTGCTAAAAGTCCCCATTAACAACTATTCATGCTCCCAGCCAGATTGTTATCACCTCCTTTGTCTGTCCAACTGCTCTTCTCTCTCTTCAGGCTCCACCCTATCATTTACTCCCTACCCCATTCCCTGTGCTATTTTCTGCATATATACCGACATTATCCCAGCTACCATCAGTTCTGAGGAAGGGTTACCGGACCTGAAACTTTATCTCTGATTTGTTCTTCACAGATACCGCCAGACCTGCTGAGCTTTTCCAGATGCTTCTGTTTTCACTCCAGGACTAGGTTTATTTGGGATATCTGGCTGCATGGGCGAGTTGGACTGAAGGGTCTGTTTCCAAGCTGTATATCTCTTTGACTCTATGATTCTTTGCCAACTTTTATACAACAATGTTGGACTTCTGCTGGTTTATTGTTTGCAGTTCAGAGGAAGGCTGTTTTGGAATGACATCAGGGTGTTGGAGAGGGCACGGAAAAGATTTATCAAGGTGACACCAGGGCAGCAGGACTGCTGGAGAGACCTGACTTGTTAAACTTGTATTTGGATCACAGAACAATTAAGTGGAAACATAAGTGTGAAATTCACAATTATCAAGGGCTTTGGTAGATTGAAGAGGGAGGAATGTTTTGCTCTGTTACGGGGGTTTCTAACAGTAGTCACAGGAGTCTCATGCACAGTGGGTTGAATGGTCTCATTCTGATCTGTAAGCTTCTATAATTCTTATGCAAACATGTCATTTATGGAATTAATTTTTAAGGGCTGACTTAGATAGGAGAAATGAACATAGTTCACTAAATATGAGATATGAATAAAAAGATTTTTAAAATTCTAAAATATTCTCTGTGTATTTCCTGTTATTGAACGGTTGAGCAGGATGAATGGAGTTATTTCCATTTTCCTTTTCTCTGCTGCTGTGTTCCAGCCTGTTGATGTATTTTGTATTTCTCACAATTATGTTTCTAATTGAAATACCCAGCGTATTGATTACCAACTGGGTCTTCTGTTCAGCTATGCTGAACTGAAAGAACGTTAAATGGAGACATTCATTAAAGTGACAGATTCTGTTTCAATCTATCTGCAGGGGGAGCTGATAGGAGTTGTTGGAAAGGTCGGTTGTGGCAAGAGCTCCCTGATAGCAGCGATCTTGGGAGAACTCAACAGGTAACTTAGTAAAAACGTCAGTTGCAGCATGGAAATGAGTCATTCAGCCCATCTGTCCTGGCTTTTACCCTTCACACGGATGCATACACTCAGTCTGTTCCCAAATGATAATATCTCTGATTTGAATAATGGAGCAGCCTGCTGCATCAGTGTAAAAGGCAAAGCTGAAACACAGCACCTTCCAAACCCACGACCACTTCCTTCTAGAAGGACAAGGGCAGCAGATATATGGGAACACCATCATCTGCAAGTTCCCCTCCAAGCCACTGTCCTGACTTGGAAATATATTTCTGTTCCTTCACTGTCAGTAGGTATTAATGGATGACTTAAGGGCCTTCTCTGAGTTACATGCGCGCGCGCGCGCACGCGCACACACACACACACATATATACACGCGCGCGCACATACACGCGCGCACACACACACACACATATACACGCGCGCACGCACGCACACACACACAGTTGGATGGGTTAACGGTGGGAGGTGACCACTCTGCATCCTCCCTCCTGATTAAACACCACACCACCTTTAAACTCATTGTCATAGCAGCATTAAATTCATAGTTTCTGCCTCAGAAATGTAAGGGAATTGCAGTGTCATGGCTCTGTACATTTCATCTGCTCTTTGTTTGAAAGCTCTGACATTTAATTTTGCATCAATGACTCCTTGTTCTCATCCCCCTAACTTTATGGATAAGAGCTTGTGTTGGTAATATATTTAATAGCATGTACCTGCTAACCTCAGCAGAGATGGAGAAATGTGGTTTGGTTAGGCAAGGTTCCTTCTTTTAAGAGATCGTAGGAACTGCCGATGCTGGAGAATCTGAGATAACAAGGTGTAGAGCTGGATGAACACAGCAGGCCAAGCAGCATCAGAGGAGCAGGAAAGCTGAAGTTTTGGGTCTGGAATTCAATAAGTATCTGGAATTAAGAGTCGAATGATGACCATGAATCCATTGTTGATTGTTGGAAAAACCCACCTGGTTCCCTAATGTCCTTTAGGGAAGGTAACTGCCATCCTTACCTGGTCTGGCCTACATGTGACTCCAGACCCACAGCAATGTGGGTGAATTTTAACTGCCCTCTGGGCAATTAGGAATGGGCAATAAATGCTGCTTAGCCAGCAACGCCCTGATCCCATGAATGAATTTTTAAAAAATAGCCTTTTGCTAACAGTTTTGGCTAGTTTTCTTTCAAAATTTACATTCACTCTTTTTGTTACTTTTTAGCAAATCTTTGTTAATTCTTAGAAGTTTCCTACTCATGAAATGTATCCCAGGTTGTTGAATGAAGCAAGGGAGGAAATAGGAGGGGTGGTTGCAAAAAAATGTCCAATTCCTCACTGACCACAGGAGAGGAGCTGGAGAACTAGAGGTCAGCCAGTGTGGCACTGTTATTTAAGAAGGGAGCAAGGATAAACCAGGAAACTACAGGCCAATCACTCTAACCTCTGAAGAGTAGAAAATACTGGAAGCAATTCTTTGTGAAAGAACTAATCTGCACTTGGAGAGGCAAGGATTAATTAAAAATAGCACGTTTAAGGGGAGGTCATGCCTGACCAACTTGATTGAGTTTTTCAAAGAAGTTATCAGATGTGCAGATATAGGCAATGCTTTTGATGTTATTTACTTGGACCTCAGCAAGGCTTTTGAGAAGCTAGGAGCCCATGGGATCCAAGGAAATTTTGTAAATTGGATGCACAGTCAGCTGAGCAATAGGAAGTGACGAGTGATGGTTGATGGGTGTTTTTTTGACTGGAAGCCTATATTCAGTGGGTCCCACAGAGTTAGTGTTGCTCTTGCTTTTTATGATTTTTATAAATGATTTTGACTTGAATGTTGGAGGGTTGCTTGATGAGTTTGTGGATGATATAAAAATTGGTTGTAGCTACAAATAGTGAGGAGGATAGCCTTAGATGACAAGACAACATAGACAGGCTGGTCAAATGTGCACTTGCAATGCTAAGCCATTGAGTTGAAGGGTGTTGTTCTGCATTCTGGATCTCTGTGACTGAAAAATTGAAAGCAACAAGAGACCTATCTCGGAGATAGTAAGAACTGCTGATGCTGGAGTCAGAGATAACACAGTGTGGAGCTGGAGGAGCGCAGCAGGCCAGACAGCATCAGAGGAGCAGGAAAGTTGATGTTTCGGGTCGGGACCCTTCTTCAGAAATGGGGGAGGGGGAAGGGAGCTCCGAAATAAATAGAGAGAGAAGGGGTGAGGCTGGGGAAGGTAGGTGGGATGGTGATAGGTGAGTACAGGTAGGCAGTGGTGGGGATTGGTCAGTGAGGTGGGAGGAGCGGATAGGTGGGAGAGAAGATGGACAGGTTGTGTCAGGTCAAGGAGGCGGGGATGGGAGAGAGGGTTGGTCATGGGATGAGGCCTGGGGTGGGGAGATTTTGAAACTGGTAAAGTCCGCATTGAGACGATTGGGTTGTAGGCTCCCAAGATGGAATATGAGGCGCTGCTCCTCCAGTTTGCAGGCGGCGTCGTAGTGACACTGGAGGAGGCCCAGGATGGACATGTCGCCCAGGGAGTGGGATGGGGAGCTGAAATGGTTCATGACCAGAAGGTGTTGTCGTTTGTCGCGGAAAAGAGCACAGGTGCTCTACAAAGCAGTCTCCGAGCCTCCGCTTGGTCTCACCAATGTAGAGGAGGCCACAACGGGAGCAGCGGATGCAATAGACCACACTGATGGATGTGCAGGTGAGCATCTGTCTGATGTGAAAGGTTTGTTTGGTACCTTAGATGGAGGTGAGTGGGGAGGTGTAGAGGCAGGTGTAGCACTTCCTGCGGTTGCAGGGAAAGGTGCCGGGGGTGGTGGGACTAATGGGGAATGTGGAGCAAATGAGGGAGTCGCGGAGAGAGCAGGACCTATTGAAGGCAGATATGGGTGGGGAGGGAAATATATCTTTGGTTGTGGGGTCGGATTGCAGGTGGCGGAAGTGGTGGAGAATGGTACGTTTAATACGGAGGTTAGTGGGTGATACATGAGGACAAGGGTGATTCCGTCTTTGTTTTTGTTGCGGGGGAGGGTGGGGGGATGTGAAGGCAGAGGTTTGGGAAATGCAAGAGATATGGTCGAGAGCATTTTCAACCACCGAAGTGGGAGGGTTGTGGTCCCTGAAATAAGAGGACATCTGGGATGTTCGGGAGTGGAACGCCCCATCTTGGGAGCAGACGCGGCGGAGGCAGAGGAATTGGGAGTAGGGGATTGCATTCTTGCAGGAAGGTGGGTGAGAGGAGATGTAGTCCAGGTAGCTGTGGGAGTTGGTGGGCTTGAGATAGATGTTGGTTTTGAGGTGGTCACCAGAGATGGAGACAGAGAGGTTGAGGAAGGAGAGAGAGGTATCAGAGATGGTCCAGGCAATCCGACCCCACCACCAAAGACATCTTTCCCTCCCCACCCTTATCTGCTTTCCGGAGGGACAACTCTCTCCGTGACTCCCTTGTCCGCTCCACACTCCCCTCCAGCTCCACCACACCCGGCACTTTTCCCTGCAACCGCAGGAAGTGCTACACCTGCCCCCATACCTCCTCCCTCACCCCCATCCCAGGCCCCAAGAAGACTTTCCACATCAAGCAGATGTTCACCTGCACATCTGCCAATGTGGTATACTGCATCCGCTGTACCCGGTGTGGCTTCCTCTACATCGGGGAAACCAAGCGGAGACTCGGGGACCGCTTTGCAGAACACCTACGCTCGGTTCGCAACAAACAACTGCACCTCCCAGTCGCGAACCATTTCAACTCCCCCTCCCATTCCTCAGACGACATGTCCATCCTGGGCCTCCTGCAGTGCCACAACGATGCCACCCAAAGGTTGCAGGAACAGCAACTCATATTCCGCTTGGGAACCCTGCAGCCCAATGGTATCAATGTGGATTTCACAAGTTTCAAAATCTCCCCTCCCCCTACCGCATCCCAAAACCAGTCCAGCTCGTCCCTGCCTCCCTAACCTGTTCTTCCTCCCACCTATCCCCTCCTCCCACCTCAAGCCGCACCTCCATCTCCTACCGACCAACCTCATCCCGCCCCCTTGACCTGTCCGTCCTCCCTGGACTGACCTATCCCCTTCCTAACTCCCTACCTACACTCACCTTTACTGGCTCCATCCCCGCCTCTTCGACCTGTTTGTTTCCTCTCCACCTATCCTCTCCTCTATCCCTCTTCTATCCGCCTCCCACTCTCTCCCTATTTATTTTGGAACCCCCTTCCCCTCCCCCTTTTCTGATGAAGGGTCTAGGCCCGAAACGTCAGCCTCTCTGCTCCTATGATGCTGCTTGGCCTGCTGTGTTCATCCAGCCCTGCACCTTGTTGTCTCGGATTCTCCAGCATCTGCAGTTCCTACTATCTCTGGTCCAGGTGAAATTGAGGTTGGGGTGAAAGGTGTTAGTAAAGTCAGTGGACTGTTCAAGCTCCTCGTGGGAGCATGAGGTGTCGCCAATACGGTCATCGATGTAACGGAGGAAGAGGTAGGGGATAGTGCCAGTGTAGCAGTGGAAGAGGGACTGTTCCACGTGTCCTACAAAGAGGCAGGCATAGCTTGGCCCATGCGGGTACCCATGGCCACCCCATCAGTCAGTAGGAAGTGGGAGGAGTTGAAGGAGAAGTTGTTAAGGGTAAGGACAAGTTCTATTAAGCGGATGAGGGTGTCACTGGAGGGGGACTGGTTGGGCTTGTGGGAGAGGAAGAAGCAGAGGGCTTTTAGGCCATCTACGTGGGGATACAAGTATACAGGGATTGAATGTCCATAGTGAAGATGAGGCGTTGGGGGCCAGGGAATTGGAAGTATATCTAACCTAGTTCCAGAGAAACTGGTTGTTAAAACCACGCATCGGGTTGTGAACTTGAGAATTTCAACTTTAACTTTAATTTAAATGCCAACTACTAAAAAAATTAGAAGTGGACAATGAATAAAGACTTTCTAAGCCACCCACTCCAGCATAAAGTCTGAAATGAGAGGAACACAGAGTGGCCAGAAGATTTTGGGGTTAGAGGTGATCATTGAGCTCAGGAGAGAAATCACGTGATGAAGGATTTGAAAGCAACAAAGAAAATGAAGAAATCAAAACAATGCTTGTTTGAGAGACAGTGTAAGTCACCAAACATCAGTGTGCTGGCTCGAAAGGATTGATCGGAGTTTGGTCTTGGGCAATCTATCTTAAGCTATGATGTTTGGCTTGAGGGAGACTGACCAGGAATGTGTTGAGATAATCCAGTCTAGAGATAATGAAGACATGATTGATAGGTATATGAGTAGATAAGCTGAGGTAGCAATAAGATACCAATGTCCAGAACAGTCTGCCTGAGTCTCAGATTTTTGCCCCAAGAGGAATGGAATCAGAATCCAAGTAATGATGTTTGGAGCCAGGACCAAAGGAATGCTTTAGTCTTCAGTTCAGAAGATGCTTCTTATTTGATATTTCTTGAAGAACTTAACGATTGAAGGTGTGTGGAAAAAAGTGATTGATTTCAAATTTTGTGGAAATACCTGGAATGTTTTTTTTAAACAAGACTTACTGGAAATTATTTGACTGGTGAGATCTGCATGTTCTGCTGTAGATCCCTACTGGGCTATTTGAACAGTGGCTGGATGGAAAGTGCTTCGGTACCTGATCTTTGGCTGGGGGATAAGAGGCCTGTGAGGCAGGACTGCCCAGCTGATCTCTCATATTTAGAAACATAGAAACAGAGAAACTTGGTGCAGGAATAGGCCATTTGGTCCTTTGAACGTGACTAATCATCCACCTCATTACTCCTGTTCCCACTTTCTCCTCATACTCTATGATCCGTTCAGTCCTAAAAACAATATCTAACTCCTTTTTGAAAACTTTCAATGTTTTGGCCTCAGCTACTTTCTGTTCCAGAGAATTCCACAAACTCACTACTCTCTGCGTGAAGAAATTTCTCCTCATCTCAGTCTTAAATGGCCGACCCCATATACTCAGACCACGGCCCCGGGTTCTGGATCCTCCGGTCATCGGGAATATCCTTCCTGCCTTTACCCTGTCCAGTTCTGTTAAAATGTTTATCTCCAAATTGCCAGACTATTTCTGCACCATCCAGCGCTGCACTGGCAGTAATTTTGTCCAATTAAATATTAGGAAGTGTTGCAACCAAGACTGGAGGAGATGGTACGACTATGAGAAGAAGAATGTTTTCATTATCCGACCCCACTAGTCCACGAGCCCCTCCATTATAAATGTTTTGATTCAATCACCAAAATGGCCTGTTGTTTCACTTTTGGTACTGCTATCCAGAGGAAAAGTCACATTTACTAGGTTCCTTTAAAGAAGTTTAAAAAAGTCCATTTAACATAAAATAATAATCATTTCTACAAATGGCAAAGATGGTTAACATTTGAATTGTAATCCAGAATCCCAAAACAAACATACTAACAGCCATACAAAGTATAACACAACCATACAGAGATTATATTTCAACAGGGCAAAAGAAAATCACCCTTGTTGGCAATTGCCTGGAAAACAAAAGGTAGAATTTGACAAATTCTCACATTCCATCAGATTTCATGATGATGAAACTAAATTGCTGAAAGCCATAGACGAACGACAGGTCTTCCAATCAAGGGCGTGATTTACACAGAAATCCAGCTACCCTGTCGTTCTAAGTCTTTGGAAAGTGATCACAGTTCAGCTTTAAGGATTTACAAGCTGATGAAGATCCTGAGATGTGGATTCTTTATCAGGTTCTCAAATAGTTCAAAGAAAAAACAGAGACTGAGACTTTTTTTTTCTTGTAAGCTTTAGAGGATTTCTTCCTTCTGGCTCCCTAGATTTTTAAAACATAAACCAAGACCAAAAAGGGTTCTGAAGACATGTCGCTGAACCTGACATGTTCACTCTGACTTCTCTCCACAGGTGCTGCCAGACCTGCTGAGTTTTTCAAGCAATTTCTGTTTTTGTACCAAAAGGTGTTGCTAGGCAACTACCTGAACAGAGCCCCAGAGTATCGTGCAATGAGGTTGTCAGCAATTATGGCCGCATCTCTTTCTTCCTTAAAGCTTTGCCTGGTTGTTTTTCCCAAAATTAGGTGACTTTCTGTAATCAGGTGGTTTATTGTTGACCTTCTTGAACCGGTGCTGGCCTTGGAGTGTCAGTACATCTGTAATACTGTTGGGCAGGGTGTTCCAGGATTTTGGCCCAGCAACATTGAAGGAACAGTGATCCACTTCCAATATGGACTAAATATTGGATGTTTGTGGATATGGTGCCAGTCAAGAGGTCTGCTTTAGATGGATGATGTTGAGCATCTTGAGTATCTTTTAGAGCTACACTCATTCGGGCAAGTGTGAAATTTTCCATCAGATATAGCAAGAACTGCAAATGCTGCAGTCAGAGTCAATACAGTGTGGAGCTGGAGGAAGACAGCAATCCTGATGAAGGGTCCAGACCCAAAACGTCAACCATCCTGCTCCTCTGATGCTGCCTGAAGTGGTGTGTTCCTCCAGCTGCACACTATTGACTGTGAAATTTTCTATGATGCTCCTGACTGTGTCTTGTAGATGTTCTAAGGCTTTGGGGAGTCAGGGACTAAGATATTCTCCACAAAGTTTGTAGCTTCTGACCTAATGTTGTGCTACAGTTCTTATGTGGCGCAATCAAATCAGTTTCTAGTTAATGGTGACTCCCAGGAAGCTGACTGGGGAATTCAGTGATGGTCACACCATTGAATGTCAAAGGGAGATGGTTAGTTTCTGCTGCCCTTGTTAATCATTCAGCCTTGCATCTTCTTTTTCTGTAAGGTTGATTTTGACTTAGTCTCTGAAAGAATCTTTACCTTTAGAGATTTCACATTTACATTCTTTGTTCAATTTACAAGCTTCAGGAGATTTTTGGAGTAATTGAATGGATTTGCATTTTATTACTGAATGTTTTTTCTTTTTATCTCACTATCTGTAGGCTTGATGGGGAAGTGTATATCTCAACACAAAAAGAAGGCTTTGGCCTGGCAGCTCAAGAACCCTGGATTCAGTTTACGACTATCCGGGAAAATATACTTTTTGGAAATAAGTACAATGCTAAGCAGTACCAAGAAGTGATTGAAGCTTGTGCACTATCAGAGGATCTTAACGTATGAAATCTGTAACTTATTTAATGTCTAAAATACAAAGAGTAATTGGGGAGGTGATGGCCCTAGTGGTATCATCACTGGACCGTTAATCCAGAGACCCAGATAATGTTCTGGGGACCTGGATTCGAATCCCGCACGGCAGATGGTGGAATTTGAATTTAATAAAATGTCTAGAATTAAGAATCTCACGGCGACCATGAATCCATTGTCAATTGTCAGAAAGACGCATCTGATTCACTAATGTCCTTTAGGGAAGGAAACTGCCTTCCTTACCTGGTCTGGCCTACATGTGACTCCAGACCCGCAGCAATGTGGTTGACTCTGAACTGTCCTCTAGGCAATTAGGGATGGGCAATAAATGCTGCCTGTTCAGTGATGCCCTGATCCCATTAATAAATAAAAAAGAATTCTAGTTGTAATGATCCAAATTCTTCACTGATGTAATTGGGGTGATTTTAATGAAATTTACTGACACTTTCCCTTTCTCAATCTGCAGTGTAAATATCACAGATGGTTACAATGCAAATACCAGTGCCCATTAGAAAAAGCCCTCATGAAGTGAAACAAAATGATTTGTCCTTCCCATCCTCATCTTTGCCACCATCAAAATAGCAGCAATTTAGCTTGCAACTCATATTGGTTAGAGAGCTTTGAGTGGGATCAGTGGAAGAGCTTGCCATAATATTCCAATCTTCCCCAGATACTGGGGAGATAATAGAAGATTTGAGAGGGGCGAACGTGACACTGTCATTCAGGCAAGGTATAAAGCTGCTGCTGGTAACTGCAGGCTTGTCAGATTAACATCAATATGGGTTTGCTTTTAAAAACACAAATCAGGGAATAATCACAAATTCTTGAGGAGCTTGAGTAGATTCTGGAGAACCAGCATGGATTTGTAAAAGATAGATAGATTGCGTTTGACTATGAGGAAGCAATAGAAGGTTTGTGAGGAGAATGTTGTCTCTATAGATTCTAGGACAGCCCAGAATACAAGGTATTACTTAAAAGGTTGGTTAACAAATTGAAGTACATTGAAGAAGCGGGTCATTGTCAGCTTGAATAAGTAATTGGGTTTAAGAAAGAGACAGCAAGTCATTGTAAATGTTTTTTTTTGGACTTAACGATGGTCAATATTGGTGTTTTCTGAGGATCAGTGCTTTGACCACTGCATTTTTAAAAAATAGTTATGATTTACTTGCATTTTGGAATACAGAATACATTCTCAAAATTTGTTGATGATACTGACATTGGAGGCATGGTAAACAATGAAGATGATACCAATGAACTACAATAAGACTTAGGCTCACAGAATGGCCACCCAGATGGCAAATGGAATTTAGTAGAAAGGTGTGAAGTGATGCATCGTGAGATGCATAATAGATTTAGTGGTGGTTTTAAAGAACAGTCAGATGTACATGGACCTTGGGATTTATTTGCATAAATGTTTGAAGATGCCAGGACATAGTGAAACAATAGACAGCTAAACACAGAGACTGTTTTGACTCCTACTTAGAGATAGGGAGTTTAGAAAAAGCAAGTTATGCTGAAACTTCAGTCACGTCAGTGAGAGTATTGTGTCCAGTACTCGTTAAATCACATTTTAGGAATGAGATTTCCCAGAATAGTTCCAGGAATGGAAGCTTTTAGCTACAGGGTTATAGACAATAATGCAAAAGACGTGGCTGAACGATCTGTGACCGTCTTTTGCTAGAGTACTGAGAGAGTGATTCATCTCGGCTTCCTCCTGAAGTCACAGCAACACAGATGCCAGTCAAAAGGCAATTCAGTTCACTCCATGTAATGTCAGGATACAGCTGAAGGCACTGGGTGCAGCAAAGGCTTTGGACCCTGATAACAGTCTGGCTATAACACTCAAGAGTTGTGCTCCAGAACTTGCTGCTCTCCTAACCAAGCTGTTCCAGTACAGCTACAGCACTGACATCTGTCTGTCAATATGACATATAGCTGCAGTATTTTCTGTCCACAAAAAACAGACCAATTCCAACCTAGCCAATTCCTATTCTGTTAATCTCACCCCCATCATCAGCACAGTGATGTGTCATTGATAGTGCTACCAAATTGTAATTATACAGTAGTAATCTTCTTACTGATGACCAATTTAGATTCTGTCAACTTCTCATTTCATTCAAGCTTTGGCCTAGGCCTGGACAAAAGAACTAAACTCGAGAGGTCAGCAGAGACTGCCTGCCTTTCGCAACAAGGCAACATTTGACTGAGTGTTAATCATGAAGCCAGCAAAACTGAAGTTGTTGAGAATTAGGAGGAATATTCTCCATTTATTGTAGTTAAACCTCTCAAAAAAGAAGTTGGTAGTTGTTGGAGGTCAGTCATTCAATCCCAGGCCACTGCTGCAGGAGTTCCTCAGGATAGTGTCCTGACCCCAACCTCGTCAACTGCTTCATCAATGACTTTCCCTCCATTATAAAGTCCAAACTGAAGATATTCGCCAATGATTGCACAATATCCAGTACCATTTGTGACTTCTCACGTACTGAAGCAGGCTGTGTCTATGTTCAACAAGACCTAGACAACATTCAGGCTTAAGCTGATAAACGGGGGAACGTAGCAGCTTACAAATTAGAAGCAGGGATGGGCCATTATCCCCCTCAGGTCTGTTCTGCCATTCAATAACATCATGACTGAAATGGACGTGGGCTGGACTCCATACTCATACCTACTACCAATAATCTTTGTCTCCCTTGACCTACCTCTTCCTTAAAAATAGTGAGTGACTCTGCCTGTACTGCTGTCTGGGGAAATGAACTTGATAGACTCATGTCACTCTGAGAACGTTTTTCTTCTCACATCCATTTTAAATGGAAGACCCTTATTTTTAAAACGGTGTTCTCTAATGCTAGTCTTTCAAACAAGGATTCAATGCTATTTCTTATCAGTGGTAACCCCTAAGATGTTGACAGTGGGCAATTTAGCCACAGTGATGCCATTGAATGCCTAGAGGAGATGCTTAAGTTCTTTCTTTTTGGAGATGGTCATTGTCTGGAATTTGTGTGGCACATGTATTACTTCCCACTTCTCAGCTCAAGGCTGAATATTGTCCGGGTCTTGCTGCCTGTGGTCATGGATTGTTTCAGTATGAGTAGTCATGAATGGTGCTGGACATTGTGCAAACATTGGCAAACATCCCCACTTCTGACCTTATGATAGAGAGAAGGTCGTTGATGAAGCAGCAGAAGATAGTTGGGCCTAGGACACTACCCTAAGGAACTCCTGAAGAGTTAAAGATAGAAACATAGAAACTAGGAACATGAATGGGCTATTCGATCTTCGAGTCACTCTGCCATTCAGTGTGATCCTGGCTGATCCTCTATGACAACTCCATATTCTCGCTTTCAGCCCATAACCCCTTGAAGCCTTTAATATCTAAAAATTTGTCAATCTGTTTCTTGAATATGCTTAGTGACATGACCTCCACCCTTCTGTTGTGGAGAATTCTACAGGTTGACTATGGTCTGAATGAAGAAATGTTTCCTCATTTCGGTCCAAAATGGTCTACTCCATGTCCTTAGACCGTGATTCCTGGTTCTAGACTAACCAGCCAGAGCAAATATCTAAATACTTCTTAAGGGTTCTGAGGGTTTCTGTCTCTGCTACTCTTACGAGCGGTGAGTTCCAGATTCCCAACAGTGTCTGGGTGAAAAAAGTTTTTTCTCACATCTTCTCTAAACCTTCTGCCCCTTTACCTTAAATCTGTGCTGTTGGTCATTGACTCCCCTCAGCAAGAGGTAAAGTTTCTTCCTGTCTACCCTATCTATGCCCCTCATAATTTTAAATGTCTGAATCATACTCTCTGTCAATCCCATCTGCTCAAAGGAAAACAATCTCAGTCTGTCCAATCTTTCTTCAGAACTGAAACTCTGCAGCCTAGGCAGCATCCTGGTAAATCTCCTCTGCACCCTCACCAGTGCTATCGCATCACTCCTATAATGTGCCGAACTGCACACCTGATCCATGGCAGATGCAATCAGATACAGAACCTTTGGTTTTATCTTTTTACTGTTGTTACCTCTCACCATATCTGCTTGTGCATATTTGGCATTCGCGCTCTGTCCCTTCCTGCCATACTGTGATCATCATTTCCTTTCTTGCTACCTTGCTGTCTTCTCAAAGCAAAATATCCCATCTTCCCAAGCTGTTCTCTGACCTACTATTTCGTTTATAATTCTGTCTCTCTCTGGTACTGGTGCTAGTGCCCCTACAATTGAAATCCATTTCTGCTGCATGAATCATTCATTTATGTGTTGACCTCTCCAATCTCATTTACTCAAGATCAGGTTGTAATTCCTGTACACCTGTTGCTCTGTTCTTCCATGTGATGGATGTTCCCAGGTGTGGAATATACTATTAAATCACAAACTATTGTATTACAGCCTATTGTATTTACAGCCTTCAATGACACTATCCCAGAACTGCTACAGCGATTTTAATTCTAACTGTTACTTGGATCTAGATTCTGCCGAACGGGGATCAGACGGAAGTTGGTGAGAGTGGAGTGACCCTCAGTGGTGGACAGAAAGCTCGTGTCGCTTTAGCAAGAGCTGTTTACATGGTAATTTTAGTTATGATGCAGGTTTCAAGTATTTATAACCAATGAGAAGGGAGATTTGCGATTGTACACAGATTACTTATGGCCAGGATGATTGGAATATCCTTGTTTGTGTTCCTGTGAAATGTTGAGAAAAGGAAGGATTTCCCAAATGTAATTACCTGGGAGGGAAAGACTGGAGGAGTTTACGTCGCATTGAGAGTGACTGAGATGATGATGGTAGGAATTGAATGTGATATTCACCCCGTAGAGCATGTTTTGTCTTCAGTTCAGTCTCAGCTGATCAGTACTCCTTGTCTGCTTATCTTTTCTCCATATTCTTTAAGGTTTTATCCGAACAAACTATCTCTCAGATGTGAGTTTTTCATTGAACCTAGACTAAACAGTGTTTTTAATGGAGAATATTCCAGCTTTTCTCTATCCTTTGTGTGAGGAGATGCTTTGTGACACCATGTTTTGCTACAGTTTAACCTCACGGATGCAGATATATTTACCAATCTTTCTGCTGAATATTTGATTTTTGAGGCTGCTTAGGGGAGGAGTTTGATAAAGAAAATGAATTCAAGAACTAACTAATCATTGTTATCTGCTGCAGGGGAAAGAACTGTACCTCCTTGATGACCCATTAGCTGCCGTGGATAAGGATGTGGCCAAACACCTGCTAGAAGAATGTATTTTAGGAGTTTTGAAAGATAAAACTGTCATCCTTTGTACACATCGGACAGAGTTTTTGGATAAAGCCGACGTGGTAGTGTTAATGGAAAATGGAAGAGTTGTAAAGACAGGTGAGTTATTTACTCCCAATGTAAATGCAGATATCTGACTGATCTGTAACGTCTGTAAGTTTCCATCTTAAGTCCTCAGTTTATGCTGCATTTGCTGGTGTCATTAGGGACACTGTCAGAGAGGAGCTTATGAACTTGGGTTAGTTGTTGGCTTCTTGTTGTTCACGTATGTGGAGATGGTACTACAGTGCTAATAATGCTGGACAAGTAATCCAGGGATTCAGACTAATGCTCAGGGGAGAGGAATTCAAATCCTGCCATGGCAATGTGTGGAATTAAAATTCAGTGAACAAATAGAATGACAGAATTGTTACAGAGCAGAAACAGGTTCTTCGGGCCATTGTGTTTGTGCCAGCTGTCAAAATGAGCATCTCACCTACTGCCTTTCCTTGCTCTTCTCCTTGTAACTGTGCACATTATTCCTTATCAAAAAACTATGTAATTCCCTTTCGAATGTCTCAGTTAAATCTGTTTCTAACACATTGTCAGGCAGTGGATATCAGACCCTAGTCACCAGTTGTGTGAAACTGTTTATCCTCCTATTACTTCTGCTTCTTTTCCAAATCCATTTAAATCTGCGCCCCCTCTTGTTCTTGATCTTGAGACACGTGAACTGTTTTTTCCTATCTACTCTCTCTAGAGCTGTCCTGATTTTGAACACATTGATGAGATCTCCTCTTACTGTCTCCTCTGTAAGAAAAACCATTCCAGTTTCTCCAATTCATCTGCCTAACTGGAATTCCTCTTCCTGGAACCATTCTCATAAACCTTCTCTGCATGCTGTCTAATTCCTTCACCTCCTCCTGAAGTCTAGCTGCCAGAACTCAGCAAAGTACTCTATCTGAGGCTGAACTCATGTCTGCTACAAGTTCAGTATGACCTCCTTGCTTTTGTAATCTATACCCCCATTAAGTTCAATTAATTACAAAAATTCAGAACAGAATGCTAGTCTCTGATGGCACTATCAACTATTATCAATTTCCATTAAAAAAAATCAAAAAAGGTTTGGGCTGCAAGTAACTTCATCGTCAACCGTATGCTCATGACTAAACAGTCTGATGTGGAATTTAATGATGGACATTCGCAGGACTGGTAGTTATTGCTCGTGTTGCTTAGGGAGCTTCTGCAACTGCGCCATATCTGGCTGACTCCTGTGTTTGACATAGATTGCCCTTGGAAAATGCTGAGCTAAGTTTCAGTACTGACCTCCATCTGCGTTATTCTGCTGCAGTGTTTTCCCAAGAAGTAATACTCAATATGTAATTGTAAAGCTCTTTTTTTTAGAGTGACCTTGTCTCATTTGTACCAATCACTTTGAAGTTGCTTGCCCTGAGACAGTTCCTCATTGAACGTTTGCTTGAAGTTTCTGTTGTCATCCTTGCAGGAGACATCCCATTGAAGGTGAATTATTGAAAACTGTCTTTCATGAAGAAGGGTCTCGACCCGAAACGTCAGCCTTCCTGCTCCTCTGATGCTGCTTGGCCGGCTGTGTTCATCCAGTTCTACACCTTCATGTTGTTGAGCCCACTACTATGAAGGATTTTGTGTTTTGTGTTTGTTTTCCTGCTGTCCAATACTCATCATTGCGTCTTAGGGGAAAGCATTCCAGAACCTTTGTTAATTTTGGTTGGGTTTGTGACCTCAGTTGTCTAATATAGGCAGTCAGTGATTTATTAGCAATTTTCTGATGGTTTATTAAGTTTATTCAAAAGCAGAAGTTTAGAAATATTAGTTAATTAAACAATGAAAAGTATACGACCACAACAATAGGGGCTAGTTTACTGACCCCTGAGGGCAAATAGGCGGTTAACATGGAATGTGTTAGTCTCTTTAAAGTTGTGAAGGCAGCATCCTGCTCTGAATCGGAGGGGTTAGGGAACTCTTTCCTTGGCCTTTCTCCTCCTCTTTTGGTCATTCTTCCATCTGGAGTGAACAGCTCTCTGAAACCATATTCTGCCCCTGAAGACTTGTTGATCTACCCTATATCTAGGGCCAGATACCATACACTGTGTCCATCAATTGTCTGAATCCTTTTGGTCAGTGACCATGGGTCAGCTGCTCCTGATGTTGGAAAACTGTTGTCCCCTTGCTCAACTCCATTTGAAGGTGAGAACAAAACCTTCTCATTTTCAAAAACATTGTGCTTGTAACTGGATAGTGCTGTGCCCAATAAATCTTGTGTTTACACTGGTGCAGGCTAGTTACTACTGTAATACAGTTCAATGATACCTCACGCCACACGAGAAATAACCAATGTGAAATTGTTTTAAATGGGACATCAGTTTTCAATACTTGATGTAACTCCTTTAGCAGACCCATATTTCTGTCCCAAACAGCACAGGAAGTGAGGATAATGGCCTGGAAGTTTAATTTTAGTCTTTTCTGCTCATTGCTATACTACTTCCAGACACCGTCATGGAGTAGGCATTGGCAGAATCTTCTTTCGGGACGCATGTGAGGATGTCTTCATCAATAGTGGCATCCCTAAGAGGGCCCTGCCAGACGTGAGAATTTTTCTGCAGCCTTGAGCTCAACTATGTCATCTACAGTTAGGTCAAGTCCTTTGGGATTTTGGTAGAGGCACACAGTCTTGAGAGATTGAACATCTTTCACCCATAGAACCTAGTGCTGATTAAAAGAAGCTGGGAAGTTATGAATGAATGACTTATAAAAAAAAACACCTTTTCCATACGTGCTATTTTGATTGGAGTAATCATTGGTTGTATACAGTGTATATACTGGGAGAATGGGCATTGAAAATCTATTGTTTAGCCTGGAGGGTTCATGAAGATGGATGAAAGGTGGGATATAGCATGAAGGGGATTAGGAGCCTTTGGAAGTCAATGGAGGGGTAGAGGTTGCCAAAGGGCATGGGTAAGACCTTTTGAATAGACCTTTCCAAGGGTTCACTCATCCAGGTTTGTGCTGATGAAAACTCTCAGGGTCCAGAACCACAAGTCCTTGAAAAGCTAGTTTGACTTCTCATAAACTTTGAGGGATAAGGAGTTGCCAGCCTTCTCCAGAGAGCACAGGGTGTGAGTTTGTGGCCTGCACCAGCCTATCATCTTGTACTGGTCAAAATCGGAAGGCACAGAGAACATACCAGAAACCCTGGAATCATATTCCAGGTGCAGTCTGTCAAAATCCAAGGAGTCTGTCAGACCCCATGAAAATGTGGCCCCGTATCGTCTGTCATACGGTTGGCACTAGAACCACTCAACTTCTAATGGACACCTTAACAGAACCTTTGTCAGGATCTATCCTGTGATTGAACGAAAGCTTATCCTTCAGGGGTGGATAGCTCAGTTGGCGGCATGACTAATTTGTGATGCAAAGTGATGCCAACAGCATAAATTCAGTTCCGGCACCGGCTGAAGGTCCTGCCTCCTGAACCTTGCCCCTCCCGTGCAGGAAGCAGATGGTGATAGTCAAGGTCTGTTTGTGTGACTGGAAGCCTGCCTCCAGTGGAGTTCCACAGGGATCAGTGTTGGGACCCTTGCTGTTTGTGGTATACGTAAGCAATTTAAACTTCGATGTAAGATGTTTAATGAGTAAGTTCATGGATGATACAAAAATTACTGCGGTTGTAAATAGTGGGGAGGATAGCTTTAGATTACGGGAGGATATGGTCAGGCTGGTCACATGGGCTGATCAGTGACAAATGGAATTCAATCTGGATAAATATGAATTGATACACTTGGTCAGGACAAACTAGGCAAGAAATACAAGGCAAGATACCATGATCACCATCTGTGGATAGATCCTATCTCACTGTCAGGACACACCCAGCAGAGGTGGTGGCACAGTGGTGTACAGTCAGGAGGCAGTTGCCTTGGGAGTCTTCAATGTTGACACTGGACCTAATGAACTCACAGGGCTTCAGGTTAAATTCCCACGTACCGTCCTCTGTTTTCTGATGAGTCAGTACTCCTCCATGTTGAGCAGCCCTTAAGGAAGCACTGAGGATGGGCAAGTGAACAAAACATAGTCTGGATTTCACTGTCCAACATCAAGAATGGCTCAGCAGCACCATTCCTGACCAAGCTGGTCAAATCCCAAAGGATCCTCACAACCTGACTTAAGCAAATGCATCTCTGTGAAGGCAAAGTGCATCTTCTCATTGAGAATGCCGTCCATTGTGTGCTGTGGCACTGTCACCGTGCCCAATGGGATATACTTCGAACAGAACTCAAGACCAAGCATCCATGAGATGCTGTGGATCATCAACAACAGAAGAATTGTACTCCACAATCTGCAACCTCATGGCCCAGCATATTTCCCACTCAACCATTGCCATCAAGTCAGGAGTTCACTGCTGGTTCAGTGAAGAGTGCAAATGGGCTTGTCAGGAGCAGCACTGGGCATATCTCAAAAAAGGACAACTTGCATGCCAAACAGCACAAGCAGCAAGTGATAGACAGAGCTAAGCGATCCCACAGCCTATAGATCAGATCTAAGGTCTGCCACATCCAGTCATGAATGGTGGTGGACAAGTGAACAACCCAGTCGAGGAAGCAGCTTAGCAAACATTTCCATCCTCAGTGATGGGAAAAGTTTGAGTGCAAAACATTCAGCCAGAAGTACCAAGTGGATGATCCATCTCAGCCTCCTCCAGAGGCCTCCAACATCACAGGTACCGGTCTTCAAACAATTTGATTCACTCCACCTGATATCAAGAAATCATAGAACCCCTACAGAGTGGAAGCAGGCCATTTGGACCATTGAGTCCACACCAACCCCCCGAACAGCATCCCACCCAGACCTACCCCCTAACCTATCCCTGTCACCCTACATATCACATGGTTAGTCCACCTCACCTGCACATCGCTGGACGTTATGGGCAATTCAGCATGGTCAATCCACCAAACCTGCACATCTTTGGACTGTGGCAGGAAACCAGGGCACCTGGAGGAAACTTATGCAGACACAGGGAGAATGAACAAACTCCACACAGACAGTTGCCTGGGAATGGTGTCAAACCCGGGTAAATGGTGCTGTGAGGCAGCAGTGCTAACCACTGAGCCACTGTGCCACCAGATATGGTTGGTGGTATTGAATACTGCAAAGGCTATTGACCCTGACAAAATTCTGGCAATATTACTGAAGACTTGTGCTCCACAATTTACTGCTCCCCTAGCCAAGCTGGTCCAGTACAGTTACAACACTGACATCTATCTGAAATTGTGGAAATTGCCCAGGTATGTCCTGTGCATATAAAAAGCAGGACAAATCCAACCTGGCCAATTACCACCCCATCAGTCAACTCTTGATCATCAGTAAAGTGATGGAAAGTGTCATCAACAGTGCTATCAAGCTGCACCTGCTCAGCAACGCCCAGTTTGGCTTCCACAAGGACCACGCAGCTCCTGACTTCATTTCAACCTTGGGTCAAACATGGACAAAAGAGCTGAATTCCAGAGGTGAGGTGCGGGTGACAGCTCTTGACATCAAGGCTACACTTGGTTGATCGTGGCATCCAGGAGCCCTAGCAAAACTGGAATTTGAATCATTATTGGAGGTGTACCTGGAACATAAGAAAAAAGTCATAGTTGTTAGAGGTCAGTCATCTCAGTGGGGATGTTTGCTGAAGATTGCGTAATGTTTTTGCACATACACGAATTTTCAGATATTGAAGCAGTCATGTACAAGTGCAACAAGATCTGGACAATATCCAGGCTTGGGCTGACAAGTGGCATGTAACATTTACACCAGGCAATGACCATCTCCAATAACAAACACTCTAACCACTGTACCTTGCCTTTCAATGGTGTTACCATCACTGAATGCTCCACTATCAACATCCTTGGGGGTTACCATTGACCAGAAACTCAGCCTTTATGACCATATAACAGTGGCTACAAGAGCAGGTCGGAATACTGTGGCGAGTAACTCACCTCCTGACTGCCTAGAGCCTGTCCACCAGGCACAAGTCAGGGCTGTGGTGGAATATTCCCCACTTGCCTGGATCGTTGCACTTCTAACAATATTCAAGAAGCTTGACACCATCCAGTACATACCAACCTGCTTGAAAAGGCACCACGTCCACAAACATCCAGTCCCTCCATCAGCAACTCTCAGTAGCAGCAGTGTGAACCACCTCCAAGATGCATTGCAGAAATTTACCAAAGATCCTCAGACAGCCTCTTGCAAACCCACGACCACTTCTATCTCAAAGGACAAGGGCAGAAGATACATGGGAACACAACCACCTTCATGTTCCCCTCAAAGTCACTCCCCACCCTGACTTGTAAATATATGGTCATTTGTTCACTGTTGTTGGCTCAAAATCCTGGAATTCCCTCCCTAATGGCATTGTGGGTCTGCCTACAGCACATGGACTGCCGTGGTTCAAGAAGACAGCTCACCACCACTTTCTCCAGGGCAAATAGGGATGGGCAATAAAAACTTTGGCCGCCAGTGACAACCATGTTCCATGAGTGAATTTAAAAAAAAAGACCTGACAAACCAGGTTTTCTTCTGGGATCTGACTTGACCCTCGTTCCCATCATCTGGAATCTGAATGGAGGAGAAAGCACCTGTCCCTAGCAATCAGCCTGTTAAAGCCAGCTGGAACTGTCGCAGCACTTGGGATTTTGAGTGAGAACATCATCACCCTTTCCTCTGAGCTGTATGGCCATGCAGCCACTTGGATGTCCCACGCATGCCGCGGGCCCTGGTCACATTATGAAGCCTGCATTTGGAAGTTGCTGCTGCGTATGGACCTCGGAGGCCACTGTAGTGATTGGAGCCAGGTGGATCTTGTTAACGATGAGGTTCTTGACTGGGGCTGTTAACCTGGAGCAACCAGGAAAGCCCTGGCTGATAATCTAACCAGGAGAGTTGAGGACGGACTCCAAGCTGGCTGGCCAGAGCCAGTGTACTGTGCGCTAGTAAATAAAGGGTGGCAGGACACCGACCTCCGTGCAGTTATTTCAGCCACACCGTGGGGATCCAAAATTAGACAGAATGTAGAACATCAAGCATGAAAAATTCAAATCTTCAACTTCTTGTCAAGAGAAAGCAAAAGTCAAATGATGCATGAGAAACAGGGGAGGCAGACCTATTATTGTGTGGCATTTGCCTGGGCTTGGGCTGATATCTGGACAAATGTTTAGTTTTTCGACACACATGTAGCTTTCTGATGTGGAATATGAGGTGCTGCTCCTCCAGTTTTCGGGTGGCGTTGTTGTGACACTGGAGGAGGCCCAGGATATACATGTCGTCCTGGGAGGGGGAGTTGAAGTGGTTCACGAAAGGGAGCTGTTGTCGTTTGTCGTGAACCAAGCGTAGGTGCTCCGCTTTGTGGAAAACTGGAGGAACGGCACCTCATATTCCACCTTGGAACCCTACAACCCAATGGTCTCAATGTGGACTTTACGAGCTTCAAAATCTCCCCACCCCCGACTTCATCCCAAGACCAGCCCTCCCTCTCGTCCCCGCCCCCTTGACCTGTCTGTCTTCTCTCCCACCTATCCGCTCCTCCCACCTCACTGACCAACCCCCACCCCCATTTCCTACCTACACTCACCTTTGCTAGCTTCATCCCCGCCTCCTTGACCTGTCCGTCTTCTCTCCACGTATCTGCTCCACCTCCCCCTCTCTCTATTTATTTCAGAGCCCCCTTCCCCTCCCCCATTTCTGAAGAAGGGTCCAGATCTGAAACGTCAGCTTTCCTGCTCCTCTGATGCTGCCTGGCCTGCTGTGTTCATCCAGCTACACACCTTGTTATCTCAGACTCCAGCATCGGCAGTTCCTACTATCTCTGTAGCTTTCTGTTGTTGCCTCCAGATTTTCCATGGTTGAATTATTTTTTTCTTTTGACAGGCACCCCTGATGAAATTCTGCCAAAGGTTGAAGCTTACCCAACTACAAAACAAAAGAAATCAAAAAAGAAAGCTGCAGGTAAGCAATGGAGAGATTTAACCCTGCCAACTAATGGAGATCTATTCAAACACAGAGACTGAGCAGGTTTCCAATGGTAGTGCATGTATTTGCAGGAGTAAGCAGAGCTTGAAATGTTTTCATATAATCTACACTATAATTCCTCTGTTGTTATATTCGCTCCACGCCCCCTCCGACAAGAATCCATAACCCAAAAGTTACGTTTTTATCAAATGATGGCAAATAACAAGATTAATGGACAAGATTTAACTTTATGTCAAGTTTAACATGAATCAGAATCAATGAAATTAACAAACAGACCCTGTTCAACAATCCCAGTGGTCAATGCAAGCTATTAATTAGACACGGACTGGCAGATACAATAAATATGTCTCTCAGGTAGTCTGCTCCATCTGGGTTGATTTCAGGACGAAAAGTTTCCAGTTTTGGATCTTGCTGGGCAGGATTGTCTGAATTATCTGTGTAAACAGAGTACTGTATATGTAATCTTTTACACGTCTCTTTGTGGAAGCTTTTCAACCTTTAGCTTCCATTGATGTGGTTTCAGTCCCATCAGTTGTGATAGCTTGGGTCTTCACATGGTGACTGATTCTGGGTAAACAGTCACTTGGCAGCAGTGGCTAAATGAACTTTTTAACTGCGCAGGAATCTTGCTGTCCTCTTTCCTTGTTGTCCTTCAGCCATAACGGCTGCATCTTTTTCTTTCTCCTTGTTGGTAATGTCTCCATGTTAAGGGTCACGTGGACCAGTATTTCTTATTCTCCCCAAATTATAATTGATCCCTTTGCAATTGATACAGCTCTTCAAAGTTCTTTTCAAACATTTTAAAAACATTACAGATGGTAACAATTACTGAAATAATTACAGGTTTTCCTTTCTATCAGTGCTTCTTTAGTCAGAGACCATCACACTGTACGTAGAGCTAGGTTGGTGATAACACCAAAGCGGGCCACTCAGCCGATCATGTCTGTACTGGCTCCTGTGACCATAACTGAACGAGTCCCATCCTTAGACAACAAGGTGCAGGGCTGGACGAACACAGCAGGCCAAGCAGCATCACAGGAGCAGAGAGGCTGACGTTTCGGACCTCGACCCTTCATCAGAAAAAGGGGAGGGGAAAGGTGTTCCAAAATAAATAGGGAGAGAGTGGGAGGCGGATAGAAGAGGGATAGAGGA